ATGAGGTGAATGAAGGAGCAGGGAGGAGGGACTAGAGAAGCAAAGTTAAATTAAGAAAAGGAAAACAAAAGGGGAATATTATGACGATCAAAGAGCAAGGAGGTTAAAAAACACAATTAGGAAACAAAGTTGCAATAATGAGAAAATTTGTACCCAAAATTAGAATTAGATAAATGAAGGGGGCTAAAAAGAAAAAAAACACATAAACCTTATTTAAAACAACAAAAAAACCAACTCAAGCTAGTACTGAAAATATACGGAAAGAAGGAGAAGGGGGTGGCGGGGGACACATGACCCAGGTGGGGGTGGGGGAAGGGAAAAAAGGTTAATTTTTTTAATTTTTAAAATTTATTTTTAGTTTATGTGAATGAGCATTTTGCCTGCATGTATGTAAGTACACCCGTGTTGTATGAAGCCTGGGGAAGCCAGATGAGGGATTGATCTCCTGCAGCTGGAGTTAGCAGCCATGTGGGTGCTGGGATTCGAACCCAGGTCCTCTGTAGAAACAGCCAGTACTCAACCACTAAGCCATCGTTCCAGCCCGTCTAATTTTTTTAATGTGTAATTAGATAAACGCATAAAGGTGATTATGCTACTAAAAGTATTTTAAGGAAAATGGGAGAAAAAAGATGAAGTGCTGCAGTGACCTCTTTCAAGGGCCTTGAAATTTGGTACTGTCAGGCACATGCAGAAAGTAGGTCAGCTGAATTTATTATTTATGCTGCTGCTGAGTCTGGATTAGACAAGTGAACCATGTCTACGGCTGTCTTTACTTAGTACCTTCCTTCCTTGGATACCAGTAACCTCTGCTGGCCACACCTAGCTTTGCAGTGTGTGGACTGGGCAGGATCTCCCACCTACCCTCAGACTCACCGGACTAACCGTGTGGCCACTCTAACTTGGGGGGAGAGCTCCCAAGTCTGTTAAGAGTGTGGGAAATCACCTCGCCTCTGATTTGTCTTCATATTTTCAAAGCTCTTTAGGCCACAGTCACCCAACTTGAGGGACGCAGCTGTGGATGTCAAAGTGGGTGCTTCGGAGCTCTGGGACTCCACAGCACTGAAGCTAATCTCCCTGCTGACCTCGGGGCTATCAAACTCCAGAACTGACTGACTGATGAGCACTGCTCTCAGCTACCAAGAGCAGCACTTTCACTACCTGGGCCAAGCCTCCCGCCACCTTCACTTTTTGGCTTGTCAGCATCTGGCCCCTCCTGCTCTCCACTACTGTCTTCCAAGGCCTCCTCTAACCCTGGGGCTGTGACAGGGTGAAATCATGCTGACTCGTGACTATTCTCTGTTTTCAGAGTCCCAGGGGAGTTCCTTTTTAACTTGGTTCCCTCTCAAGATGGTGCCCGGCCAGTCCTCTCCAAGGCTGACTCCTCCAGGACATGTCAGCAGTGGTCCCAGCAGGACTACATCTGGATGTAAGGGTTATGGGCACTGTGGGCAGGTCGTGGGGGTAGGTCTGCCTCCTCACCAAGGCTGCTCACCTCCTTTTTTTTCCCCTATATATTTTTATTGAATTTTTATGCAATTCATACATCTTAATCATATTTAGGTCCACCCGCCCACAGGACTGCATGCATTCTGTCATGTATGTCAAGGCCTACTGAGTCAAGTTTGTGTCCCCAGATGGCTCTCGGTGTGAGTTTACTCACTGGAGTCTGTTCAGCCTGCCTAGTGTTACTCCCTTAGAGACCAACCCCTAATCACCCAACCCTAACCCTAACCCTAACCCTAACCCAGCAGCTGCCAATAAGGTTGGGGCCTCCTGCCCATGTTCTCAGTTTTATGCTGGGTTTTATCAATTGAGTTTGAACGGGTCTTTGTATGCTGTCACCGTTGCTGTAAGTTCGCATGAGCAAGCTCCCAGAAGCCTGGAAAACGTTTCCCTGTGGTCAATCACCACCCCCCAGCTCTCACAATCTTTCCGCCCCGCCCCCTCTTCTGCAATGACCCCTGAGCCATGGGTAGGTGAGGTTAACAAAGTCCTGTTCAAGGACCCACTCTGCAATCCCTTACTCTCTGCACTTTGGCCAGCAGCAGCATTCTCTGTTAATTGCTCTCTGTTGCATTTTTATTGATCTGATAACCTTAAAACTTTAATTTTTTCCCCTTGCACATGAGGATAGCCACACTTCAGTTTAGTTCCCAGAGCAGCCCATCTGAACCCCAAACTTTCAAGGCACTCATGGCACTGTTCCGCAAATGCCTATTTGGCTCCCAGGTGTACTGAGACTACTGGGTGGTTAAAGCCTGTCTTCTGCAGTTCTTAGTCTCTCTTATGCCCCTCACCGAGCACATTAGACATTCAAGAAATGACTGCATGAATGCCACCGATCCTAGATTCTCCTCCTCCACATCTTCAGTCTATCCCTTCTTCTTCATGCCTCCAAGGAGAGAACACAGTATGGTGGGCATCAAGCACGTGGCCTCTGAAATCAGACTAACTTGTACAGTATCTGTGCTCTAATATTCACTAATCAGGTGACACTGGGCAAGCTACATAACCCATATGTGCCTCCATCCCGTTTGGAAAATGAAGCCTGTGGCTCCTGATTCCTTTCAGAAAAGCTCACCTGTCATAGCATAGAAAACCCTCCCACCCTCACCTGCCTCCCCCCACCAAAACCCCCCAGCCCTCTGCTGTCACCCACGGGTCTGTCCTGAGCTCACGCTCACTGTATGGCACTCCCAACTAGACCAGGCTTCTTCCCCTGTCACCAGTTCTTCTTTCTCATCTCCTGAGCTGAGCTGTCTCCTCCTTAGTGGTTATAACCATGATCTCTGGAGCGGGGAAAAGGCCTTAGTTTAAATCCTAGCTATTCCATAAACAGGTTACAGTCCAAGCTAACTAACCCTCCAGGGGTAAGTTCCTCTTAGCCTTCAGTTTTTGCTGTAAGATGGAATGGGAAGAAGCTGCTGTGAAGATTACATAACACAGAAGATCTCCCTCCAGATCTGAGCACAGAAAGTCCTAATGCTCGTTAATCATTTCTGGCTCCAAGAGCTTTCCTAACACTTTCTGTGGATCATCCCCCCGAGCACTCGCAGTATGATGCCTTACGAAAAATAGGGTCGTAGGGCCAAGGCACTCACCAAGAGTCATTTAACTTCCAATAGAAGCCAGCTGTGGTGGCACACACCTTTAGTCCCAGTACTCGGGAGGCAGAGGCAGGCAGATCGCTGTGAGTTCAAGGCCATCCTAGTCTATATAGTGTGTTCAAGACCAGCTGGGGCTACAGGGAAACCATCTCAAACTAAAACAAAAAACAAAAAACAAACTTCCAACAGAAAAGTCAACACTTGAACCCAGAACCTCACACAAAGAAAGAGCTTTGCAGACAGGCATGGGTCAGAGCACATAAGAGGATTGCTAAGGACTCACCACCTACACTCATCTATGCTCAACAAGATCCCCTTCCAAAGTGATGTCAGACCAGCTTCCAAGTCTAAGAAGCATCATAAAACAGGACTTCTCCAGAGGGGCTGAGGCCTGGCTTGGCCCAGTCGTGGATGAAGTGTTTTGTTAATTCAGATGAAAGGGAAGGGACACAATTTTGATAGGAATTCAATTCCCTCTATACAGAGAAAATTTTATTCACATGTAAATGAAGCAGCTTTGTCCTGTGGTTACAAAAACTCATAAAGATGTAAAAATAATGTTACATTTATAGGGCACTAAGAAATGTATCTAAATATAGTATTTTAAATTATTTATAAAATATTGATCCTTATAAATATACCTCATTACATTTTTATTTTCATAAAAAGTTTATTTGAAACATTTCTCACTAGTTCTCACAATGCACTTTACAGTCAATTAACTTACATCCAAAGAGAGATGTGTCCTTTCAGCTATGATTTCATTTTCTTAAGAAGCAAAATGAAACTTTATTTTCAGCAGGAAAAAGAATGTACATCTGAAAGGGAAAAGCAATCTCAGCAAAAATGGGGATCAGCCGCCATATCTTTTCTTCAGTTCTTCAACAGAATTAGCCTTCAATTCTGATTTTTCTAAGTGATTGAATAATACATGTATGACTGGAAAAGAAAAAAATGTATTTTATTATCTTCTAAAAAATCTAAACAAAATGTAAATTAAAAGAATAATCTGATCAAACAAAAGCAATAACTACAAATGTTTATGGTTCTAATTCATGTACTTAAAAATCCAAGAATTAAAAATTACACATCAATCCAATAATATTTCTTCCCAGAATATTTTAATAATACATGTATGACTGGAAAAGAAAAAAATGTATTTTATTATCTTCTAAAAAATCTAAACAAAATGTAAATTAAAAGAATAATCTGATCAAACAAAAGCAATAACTACAAATGTTTATGGTTCTAATTCATGTACTTAAAAATCCAAGAATTAAAAATTACACATCAATCCAATAATATTTCTTCCCAGAATATTTTGCTATCAGTATAGAATTTCCCATACATCCTCAACAGCATTAACCTTACAGATTATTTTTAATTCATTCAGCACTATCCTAAAAAGCTCTTGTGCCCTGTACATCAGGTATACATTTATTAATATTTTACTTAGCATTTTTATTTGGTTAACTATTTTTCAAGCTTAAATCAATTTTTTAAAGAAACTTTATATTGCTGGGTGTGGTGGTGCACACCTTTAATCCCAGCACTTGGAAGGCAGAGGTCAGTCAATCTTCTGTGAATTCCAGGCAGGCTTGTTCTACATAGTGAGTTCCAGGCCAGCTGGGGCTACAGGGAGACTCTGTCTCAAAAAGACAGAGAAAAAAAAAAAAAAAAAACAGCCGGGCATGGTAATGTAAGCCTCTAATCGCAACACAGGCAGGTGGATCTCTGTGAGTTCCAGGCCAGCTGGGGCTAGAGGGAAGCTCTGTCTCTCAAAAACAACCAAACAAAAAGAACTTTATATTGCTGCCAGGGCAACTCAGCTCGGTGATAAAACATTTGCCTAGCATGCTAGAGACCCTAGGTTTGAACACCAGCACTGCAAAAAGGGGCGGCGGGGGGAGCTTAAGAAGATATTGCTGCTGGAAACTGAAAATCTGCAACGCCACCTATGAAATCACATTGGATGGATGGACAGGTATATCTCTGGATCCCATAATAAAATACCTAACTACTAATGTTGAAATCATCATTCCTCTACCCCGCCCCCCACCCGCCTTTCAGTTTGCGGTTGCTGCTGTTTTGGGGTTATTTTTGTTGGCTTTGCTGCTACGCGTTTGGCAGACTCGCTCTGAAGCTCAGGCTGACGACCTCAAGCTCATCACGATCCTCCTGCTCCAGCCCCCCACCTGTGAAGACGACGAATCACCATTCTTACACCGTGTAGCTCACATCAACACTGGAAAACACTGTTACAGTTCCTGCTTCTCAGCATCAAACTGCAACTAGCCATTACTAGACAGTGGCAACAGCACAGGTCACAGTAGCTAGCATCTGTCGAATGTTTACATGCCAGAATGATTCTACATGCTTCCCATACATCCTCGAGCACACCTTAAAGGTGTGACAGGAGAGGGACAAGAACACACTCACTACGCACCAACACTGAGGCCTTGTGAAGGCCGTGAATTCCTGCTCTCACAGAGCTTCCATTCTGTGTGGGACAAAGAAATAATAAACATGTGTGTGTGGCAGTGTCAGCTACTTGTGTGCTGGAAAGAGAAAGGAAGCAGAGGAGAGATAGGGAGCAGGGGCGGCGGGACGTAGGCGGTCGTTCTAGCCAGGGAGTGACAGCTGAAGGAAGTGAGGGACCGAGTGCCCAAGGTGAAGGAACAGGGCAGGTATTCAAGGTGTATTGAAAAAGAAAACGCGGGACTCGCAAGGTAATCCAGCAGATCAAAGTCCTTGCCGTGCAGGACCCACGTAAAGGTGGAAGGAGACAGCTGGCTCCCAAAGTTTTTCTCTGACTTCAAGCACAGTGGCAGGTGTGGGCGCACACTGAGTTGGTAGAGTGCTAGCCAGCATGCATGAAGTCCTGGGTTCCAGCCCCAGCACTGCAGCAACTGGGTGGTGACACACGCGTGTAATCCCAGCATTCAAGGTGGTGACATGAGAATCAGAAACTCAAAGTCAGCCTAAGCTACACAGTGAATTCAAGACCAGCCCGAGATACATGAGACCCTGTCTCAACACAGTAACAACAAAAACTAAGCCAACTAGGCCTGCATCACCTTTGACTCCATGATTCGTGTTCGTTAGTGATTGACATCTCTACTTACGAGGCTCCCTGAAGTTGTGAGGCCAAGTGGATTCTGACATGCCTTCTCTTCATGTAAAGTCCAGAATAACTGCCTGCACCTACAAGTTCTGAATGCCTTGCTTCCCCAAAGTTTTTCTGTTTCCTACCAAAATATGTTTTTTAGAAAAGGAGGTTGAAGAGATGGCTTAGTGGATAAAGACTTGCCCCACATGAGTGAGCATCTGGATTCCCACAACCCATGTAAAGCTGGACATAGTAGCAAGCTTGAGGTGAGAGGCAGACAGTAGAGTCCCCGGAAGCTCAAGGGCCAGCTTGGGGTACGCAGCAGCAAACAAGAGACCCTACCTTGCCAGGGGGAGGGCCAAGGCGGGAGATGGAAACCAGAGACTGTCCTCTGTTCACCGTGTTCTCCATGGAGGGTACATGTACCTGCGCTTTTATATACACACATGAACGAACACACACACACACACATACACACACACACACACACACACACACATACACACACACACACACACACACACACATACACACACACACACACACACACACACATACACACACACACACACACACACACACATACACACACACACACACACACACACACACGGAAACCAGAGGCTGTCCTCTGTTCACCGTGTTCTCCATGGAGGGTACATGTACCTGCGCTTTTATATACACACATGAACGAACACACACACACACACACACACAGGGAAACCAGAGGCTGTCCTCTGTTCACTGTCTTCTCCATGGAGGGTACATGTACCTGCACTTTTTATATACACACATGAATGAACACACACACACGAAAATTTTTTAAAGATAAAACAGAAACATTTGGGTTAAATCCTAATTTCTTTTAAAGCCCTAGATTGCTTGTTCACTTCTCTAAGTAAAGAGTATTTTCCTCTTGTTCAATGAGTGCTTTTGTTGTGTTTTAGCAGGGTTTCTGTATGTTACCTAGGCAGGTCTCCAACTCACAGTCCTCTGCCTCAGCCTTCAGAGGGCTAGGATTACAAGCATGTACTGCCACAGTGAAAAGTGTCTACCTTATAGATTCAGAATCACTCAGCGCACTGCTAGAAACACAGACCTACCTAAGAAGATGAATTCAAGTATGTTTAGTACAGGAAGCACCTGAAAATAGCATACTGGGATTTTTTCTAATTTTTAAAGTTAAAAAATTAGCATTCCTCACTAGTTATGGTGACACATGCCTGTAATCTCAGCACTCAGGGTAGAGACAAGAGGACTGATTCAAGTTTGAGGTCAGCCAGTTCTCCCTAGCAAGTTCTAGGCCAGCTAGGGCTGCACAGTGAGACCTGAAACCTTGTCTCAAAAAAACCAAAACAGTAATTGGCATTCTTGTATTTGAATGATTTTTCTTTTACCTACAAACAGAAATATATCCTAAAACTAAATAGCTAAAAATTTTATTTTGATTTTTACTCTAAACGGAGATAAACCAGGGACAGGAACCAAGCGCACCATCTGCCCCCCTTCACCTCCTAACCTAGAACCCAGCTGCACTGCACTGGTGCAATGCTCTGAGCTCTGTCTGCCTCAGAACATCCAATGCACACTGCTCCCTCAGCTCTCTTCCCCACCTCTTTGAGCATTCAGCTGAAATTAAACCCAAGGACAGCACCTCTCTCAGGAGGATTAGATCTGTCCTGTACCTGGCAGTGTAGCCGGCACTGTTCCCAGGCTCCAGGGTAGCAGATTCTACCACGACATCATGTACTGCATTTCCAAGACGAGCCCACACTGCGAACTTGCCTGCCTGGGCTCAGATCCTGAATGTGGTTTCTTAACTGTGTGACCCTGGTTAAAAAAAACTTTAACCTGACTAGCACAGTGGTGTACACCTTTAATACCAGCACTCAGGAGGCAGATGCAGGTGGATTTATGTAAGTTTGATGCCAGTCTGGTCTACATATCAAGTTCCAGGATATCCAGGGTTACACAGTAAGACCCTGTCTCCTAAAACAACAATAACAAGAAACAAACAGCAAAAAATCCCTTTAACCTCTCCATGCCTCTGCTTCCTCTGTTCAAGGAGAATGATAATATCATGTAGCCTTGAAAATACTGCCAAGGAGACGGCTCAGCAGTTAAGAGCACTGACTGTTCTTGCAGAGGACCCAGGTTCAGTTCCCAGCACCCACATGGTGGCTCACAACCATAAGTAACTCGAGTTCCAGGAGATCCGACATCCTCTTCTGACCTCTATGGACATTGTAGGACATGGGCACACTCACACACATGCAGGCAATGCACTCATACACATAAAATAAAAATAATAATAATAAAAAAGAAAATACTAAGGCTGGAGAGATGGCTCAGCAGTTTAGAGCACTGACTGCAGAGGACCCGGGTTCGATCCCCAGCACTCACACGGCGGCTACAAACCGTCCTTAACTCCAGTTCCAGGGAAATCCAAAGCCCTCTTCTAACCTCTGCAGTGCTGCACGACACGGGTGCACTCACATACGTGCAGGCGATACACTCATACACATAAAATAAAAATAATAAAATATTAAGAAAAAAGAAAACAGTGCTAAGATGAAAACAATTTTGACTGTACTTAATTCAACTGCATCTCACTTAGCGCACTAAATTACAATTAACTTATATTTGAGCCTGTGCCCCTTATACACGACAAACTGCCAATAGTCAAAAGGGAGCACAGCACAATAAGGGGATGTAGAAAGCTTTCTTTTTCAGAACTTACTCTTTTTCTCAGGTCCTGAGAGAAACATTATGGCCATATCAAACCTTTTTAGTTCAGAAAGTCTTTGTAAGGTTTCAAAGATGAGAGATGGCTTTTCTTTCCTGAAATAATCCAAATATAAAAATAAATGATCAGTTAAAAGTAGCTAGTTTGATTTTTCCTACCAACATACTTTTTTTTTTTTTTTTTTTGGTCTTTTTGAGACAGGGTCTCCCTGTAGCCCCAGCTGACCTGGAACTTGCTATGTAGACCAGGCTGGCCTCGAACTCAGAGATCTGCCTGCCTCTGCCTCCCAGTGCTGAAAAAATTTTTACATGTGTGCTTTGCCTGCATGTATATAAATACACTCATGTACTCACTGCCTGCAGAGGCCAAAAGAGGGCATCAGATCCCCTGAAGCTGGAGTTACAGATGGCTGTTAGCAGCCATATGGGTGCTGGGAACCAAACCTAGGTCCCCTGCAAGAGTAGGCGACGCTCTCAACCTCTGAGTCCTCTCTCCAGCCCCCAAAGTAATAAATCTTTTTTAAAAAGTCTTTTTCCCTCATTTAAACTTTCTCCTTCTTTACTATTTGTACTTGTTATCTCTTCACTTCTGTTAACAGTAAAACTTAGTAGAAAGCTAATTTTGCCATGTACAAAATATTAACATTAAGATCAAAGAGAACACATTTTATTATTGAACATAGCATTGCAATGTGAGAATACAATTTAAAAAATTCAACTTACTCGATGTAAAAGTCATGTAAAATTTTAATGATTTGATTGAATACATCTGGATCTAGATTTTTCTGAAACAACTTCGGATATAAAGATGGTTCAATTTGCTTGGGAAAAATAAAGAGTAAGAAAACTGAATTGTGGGAGCATTCATATTGCAGGTCTTAGGTAGAAAACAGCAGGAATACTTACTACACAGTAATACTAACGAGAACTAGTGGGGCCACCTTAAACATAACTCCAGGAAAGAGTAAAAGTGAGCTGCAAGACAGACAGATAGCCACTGCTCTGTTGGCACATCCTGGAACAGGATGGCACCACGAGAGTCAGGGGATGCCAGACAGCTCCCATTTCAGCTGAATTCATAGGATTCAATCCTTTCTTGAAACAAATAAAAGCTCATTTCAGGAAAATAACTGCCTGGCACTGTAAGCATTGCTTGGCCCAGAAGACGCTCAGTGACTCTAGTCTCCTTTCCACATCCTGAAGGATAAAATATCAAAGCTTAGGCCATAAAACATGAAATCTGATTTTAAGTTATTTTAGACTCTAGAATTTAACACATAGTTCACTTCTAAAAAAGAACAACAAGGTTCCTGGATTACAAATATTTCAAAAACAGTCTGGCCAGGACCATGTACTTCAGGCTAGAGATGAAAAGCATTTTCTACATTCATATTATACAAAATATACAAGCAAATATTACAGCAGCACTAGTATAACCAAAAGAAATTATTTTTACTTCCAGGAGAACTATAGCTTCTTCTCTTACCTTTAAATACTGATATAACATATCTGGAGAACTTCTCAGCTGTCTGAAATCAGATTCAAGCTGGAATGAGTTGGCAGGAACTGGAGGCAGAGCGGCTGTGACAAGCTGAGCAGGTGTCTGCTCCACCTTTACAGAAATCTTCTCACTGAAAGACTGACATACATCCTGCTTCAAACTGACTTGAGTTCTGAAATATTTTAGAGGCATTGGTCAACCAGCCAAAAATGAACAATTCAAAGTTCAATACAGGAAACAGTAACAGAATTTCTCATTTCTGACTTTACTGTTTTCTGTCTGTATCCCATAAGCATTAAGTTCTTCTGACTAATAAAACATATATACATATGTTCTTGCAAGTTTCCCATTCTGGCTACAAATGGCCATGGTCATGTGCAGGATGGCTAACTGAGCCACCCTTGGAGCAGACCTCCTCTACCCAATGCAAACCATATCACATATCCTCACAACTAGGCCTTTCAGAGACTGACTGACCAAGCTTCAAGATATGTCAAGAAGGAATATCTTAAAGCTACCTATTCAGGCTTTTCCTGTAATTGGTACAATTACCTTAAATAAAACTACTATTACTGTTTAAAGTTTAAAACAGAAAAACTTCACAGGTGTAATGAGTGGCAGTGTAAAACTAGACAGGACTATATGGAAGACTAACCAGCAGCTCAAAACAAACCTATTGAGTCTACACCTTCTCTCCTTTCATCAGCAAGGAAACATGTGAACTAGCTTTATTATTATTGAACTTTTACATTACAATACAAGTGGGTTTCATTATGACATTTTCATACATCTGTGTCATTATAGTTTGTCACATTCCTCCCTGCTCCCCTGCCACCCTGTCCCTATCTTGCTGATTCCCTTCTTCCCTCCTAAACAGGTTCCCGTTCTTGGTGGTTTTTCAATTCTAAACCAAATTTAAATTGTGCCCAATGGTCTTCAATATAGATAAAATAGTGGTGACATTTAAAGTTTACATTTTTATGATGCTTCCTTTAAAAAAAAATGGGGGGGGGCTAAATAGTAAAATAGATACATACTGAAATTCTAGGGAAAAAAATGTGCAAAATCAATCAAGACACTTTATCATCTCTAAATCATCTGTAAATTGTCCCTTCGGTGAAGTAATACTGATTACCTCTTAAGCAAAATCTCACAGTAAGTACAAATAAAAAAGGAAAATTAGAACCTGCAGTTAGGTCGTTCAAAAAATCAGAATGATAAGTATAAATCAGGAGTCTCAGTGATAGCAGTTTCCAGTGAACTGTGTCATTACAGGTGACTGTCTAACACTGACTACTCACTGCAGGTCTGAAGTGTCACTGATTTCTTCTATCTTCAACATTTTTGCTTTTGGAGTGTCACCTGTGGGCAAAAGGTCATCTTGGCTTGAATTCTTCTTGCCTGTGGTGCCTGCAGGCGCTGTTACATTTGCCAAATCCACAGGATCACTCTCGTGAGCAGCAGTGCTATCTGGCACATCAAAAGCCTCTATCAAACTTCCAGTTTCTTCAATAAAGACCTTCTTGAGTGGTTTCTAAAACAATTAAAATCCATCTTTTAAATCAACATATTCAAGGTCTCCCATCTTAGGGGTCACAAGTTAAAAGGCTATGTTTTTACAGTTAATAAGCCAGTGTTAAATAATCCAATTTGCTGGCCATACAGACTTAAAAACACACACTGTCTGAGAACACAAATAAGACCTAAGTGGAGGGAAAGAGACGTACATCATAATGACTACAAGGCAACAGTATGTATAAAAGGAAAAGCACAGATGACAGAAGGGCAGCAGCAGGACCAGCAGCACAGTGGAAGGCGGACTGCGGTGTGGCCCACGGGCCGAGGGGCAGCCTTCTGCACGTGGTGGGGCAGAGAGTGCTGCACACAAAGCCTGCACGGACGCTTGGGGCCAGCCGATGGGGGAGCCTGTGTGCACTTAAGGAGTTTGGACTCTACCTTCAAACAGTAGAGGAAAAAATGCAGCCGTCCCCGCAGCAGCACTGCAGGCTACCTGAAGGAAGTGGAACAGGGGCAGGTTCCAGGCAGCACCAAGGGAAATGGGCCAACACCAACCCCTAAGTGCTTTCTAAGTGCGTAACAGATGGGTAAGTCCAGCCCAGGGTGACAGATTGGCCAAATAACAAAGTTGGTAACGGTTATTCAAAGGTTTTCCAATTTAATAAGTGACATTCATTGTTTATTCAGGTCATCATAAGTAACAAACATTTTCAATTTCTTAAGTTTACAATATTCTCTTATAGGCACCAAATGTAACAATGTTCTTTGCTACATCACCACACTAGACTCAGATGGAACCTGAGAAGCTACTGTTCTACCAGCCATATTGAAAACGGGTAAAAGCTCCTTTACAATTTTGCATTGGTAACAGTTGCAGCTCTGTGATAGAAAAATGGGAGCTTCCTGGTATAGCAGTGCACCCTTTAATCCCAGCACTCACGCTGGAGGTGGAGGCAGAGGCGGGTAGAGCTCTGTGAGGTCAAGGGCCCCTATTTCAACAAACAAACAAACAAACAAGACAGAAAAGGGGCGTTTTTTTCTTTTATTCATATTCAAATTTTTATTTTAAAAAAGAAAACTTTTCTCAAGATACTCTAAATGCAGTTGAATCATAAACCAAAGTTATAAATACAAAATATGAAAACTTCTAACATATGTTAATTTAAAATTAGAAGCAGAAATTCTACTGATACAGCCGAAGCAAGATCTACTGAAAATAAGATCTACAGGTAAGAACTATTAACAGACGAATGTATATAAATGAAAGAGCTAAAACCAAAATTGTAACAGAGTCCTATCAGCAAGTTTAAGGCCTTCCCTTTACTGAAAATTCTAGCAGCAACAGTTTTCTATGGAGATATGGACCAAGAATGGATATGTGCTAGTAATTTTTTTAAAAAATTAACAACTAGTAGTATGAATTAAATCAATATGGTCACATTAAACTCAAATTTTTTCACTGACAAGAGGTAAGTAAATGTGAACCTAATTAACATATTTCCCAACAAAAAAATCTCTAGTAAGTATAAAGCAGTGGTTATCACAAGTCACTTAGGGTCAGTGATGATGACAGGGAGGGAATGAGGGAAGAGCATTATGGTAACAGGTGTGAGCCATTAAAAAAAAAAGATACATGGAAAGAAAGGTTAATTAAGGGGCCTGATAAGATGGTTCAATGGGAAAGGTACCTGCTGCTAAGCCTGATAAACCTGTTGGGTATCTGGGACCCACATGGTGGAAGGAGAGAAATAACTCCCACACACTGTCTTCCCATCTCTACATATGTACACACACACAGTAAATAATGTAATGTTTTAAAAGTAGTATTAAGTTAATGGCTCAGAAGTTTAACTTTTGGGAGGTGAATATGTTTGAAATATATGAATGAAAATGTCATAATGAAACCCATTAGTATGTATAATTAATATATGCTAAAAAATATTTTTAAAAGTATAAAATTTGAGTTGGGGACATAGTTCAGTCGCAAAGTGCTTTCACTGGCTATTATTCCTGAGGCCCTAGGTTCAATCCCCATTGTTGAAAACAACTTAACATTCTGTTGAGCTCTGTTTTATTGCCATTTTAAAAGAAAGAGGGAAAGAAAGATAAGAACAAACAGAGGAGAAACTGAGGGGTGGCTAGATGGCTCAGTGGGTAAAAAAATGCTTGCCATGCAAGCCTGACAATCTGAGTTAGAGCCCCAGGACCCACGGTGGGGGAATCAACTCCTGAGAATCGTTCACTGACCTCCACACATGCACCATGGTATGTGTACCCCAACCACTTAGCCACCTATCCCTGCACACATACATATTCCACGCAAAATAATCACAATAATTGTGAAATGAAATAGAAATTTAAGAAAAACAAAAGAAAGAGAAAATGGACCAAGTAGAAAGATGAAGCTTTCACATGAAACAGAAATATGAAAAACAGTAAATAAAACTGTTTAGCAGGGACTAAGAAATCAAGAAAAACTGATTCAGGGGCTAGAGAGATGCCTCAGTAGTTACTTTCGAAGACTCGAATTCAGTTTTCAGCACCCACAGTAGGCAGCTCAGAACCACTGATAACTCCAGTTCCAGGAGACCTGACTCCCTCTTCTGTCTTCTGCGGACACTTGCACATATGTGACACATACAAACACAGGCACACACATAAACTTTTGTGTAACTCATTAATTATCAGCTAGTGGGAAGCCCAGACCCTGGCGGCTTTGTGTCTGCTATCTCCCGCAGAGTGCCACTGAAAACGCCCACCCGACCCACACACTGCACAGCTCCCTTTCCTTCCCGGCCACTTTCTCCAGTGACCAAATGTCCTCACCGCCGATGTGAAACTGAAAAGGAAATTACTTTACCTGAACTCACGGTACCATCTACCACCTATTCCTTTTGATATAAACTAACCTGAGTTACTCTCAAGAAGGATAACATAACAAAATTAGGCAACTGCTCAAAATTTCGAAGTTTCTTAGTGTAAAATGAAGTCCGAAGGCTTCCACCCAGCTTCCATCTTCTATTTCTTTCTGAATGTCCACATTTTATCACAGTGATCTACTAAAAATAAACAGCGCTTTTCCCTCCTCAATAGGGCACTAATCACGATTATGTTGGGTCACTTGCAAAATGGGTCACTCCCAGATCTTTCACTTCATACAGGTTTGGAAATAATGCTACAGAAGATTCAAGTTCACACTGCGCTTTCATAACTATCAAGATAAACTGGTTTTTATAAATGGTGGAGAAGACCTAACAAATTTGTAAAAGCTTCTTAAAAAACAATGGTCTCAGGACAGGACTTATAAAGATATCTGCCCTGGGGCTGGAGAGATGGCTCAGCAGTAAAGAGAGCAGGTTCAATTCTCAGCACCCACAAGGCAGCTGACAACCATTCGTAACTCCAGTTCCAGGGAAATCTGATACTCTCTTCCGATCTCCTTGGGCATTGCATGATGTAGATGTACTTACATACACACATGCAGACAACACACTCACACACATAAAAGTAAATTTTATTTATTTTTTTGGGTGTTTTTGAGACAGGGTCTCCCTGTAGCCTCAGCTGTCCTGGAACTCACTATGCAGATCAGGCTGGCCTTGAACTCACAGAGATACGCCTGCCTCTGCCTCCCGAGTGCTGGGATTAAAGGCGTGCGCCACCATGCCCGGCTAAAAGTAAATATTTTTTTAAAAAAGATATCTGACTCACCACACAACACTGTCTTATAATGGAGAATATCTAACAAAGGCAGGTTTTTTGTAAATTTCTAAATTAATTTTTATGAAATTTTGTATAAGTTTAAATCATATTAAAAGAATAGAATAATAGCAAATTAATATATTATATAAAAATAAGTATAATGTGGTCGGGCAAGGTGGTGCATGTCTTTAGTCCCAGCATTCGGGAGGCAGAAGCAAGATGATCTCTCTGAGTTCCAGGCCAGCTGGTGCTACAGGGAAACCCTGTCTCAAAAAGACCAAAGAAAAAATAAGTATAATGTATGGAAGCAAATTAAGTATAATGTGGTCGGGCAAGGTGGTGCATGTCTTTAGTCCCAGCATTCAGGAGGCAGAAGCAAGATGATCTCTCTGAGTTCCAGGCCAGCAACACAGTCACAAGAACACTGAAAAAGTATTAAAGACCTCTATCTGCTACTAACCCAAATACAAACAGCAAAAGCTTCCATTGCCTCCCTTTTATCCTTTATGAAAGGAGGGTACAGAGCTGGGTGTGGTGGCGCACACCTTCAATCCCAGCACTTGGGAGGCAGAGGCAGGCGGATCTCTGAGTTCAAGGCCATCCTGGTCTACACAGTGAGCTCCAAGCCAGTTGAAGCTACAGGGAAACTCTGTCTCAAAAAGATCAATCAATCAATCAAGGACGATACAATTGCTTGCTCTGACGTCCTCATCTCAATCATTTTTATCAAAGACTCACCCTCAGTGCAGGTGCTTCTTTCTGGGAGGCGGAGCAAGAACTGTGGTTGGTGACACGCACACAAGCCGTGTGGGGAAACCAACTTCATTTTCTCATCTGGCAACTAGTTACAAGGGTACTCATTTTATAATTATTCTTTAAACCTTAAGATTGCATGTATAAACTCTTCTAAAGTTTGTATTTTGTAATATTACATACATATACTGAAAGTATTACGTAAATACTAGAAATTACCAGAATCACATCAAACATATTTGTCAAAATAAATTAAGCCCTAAGTGTTCAATATAAAGTATATTGTTAAATCCATGCCAGCATCTCTATTCCAATACTACAGGAAAAGAATAGCTTTTGTTAGATTTATGATAAATGCTACAATATACCTCAAACAATGTATGTTTTTAAGGATAATTTTACCTATATTCAATTTTTTTCTTCTGTGCTGACCTGAGATCTAACACCTCACAAAACACAAGGCTACTGTAGTAAGAACCCAAGTGAAGAACAGTAATGAAATCAAGAAAGCAAGAACTCTACAAAATATAAAACTAGTGGAGAGTGGAGAGCTGTCAGAGCGGATGACGGATCGGAAGCAGCACCCGTGAGACTGGGAGTTCGGATAAAAGAAAATCACGATAAAAAGCTATTCATGGGGTCCAGAGACAGGGCTCAACACTTAAGAGCACTGGATGTTCTTGCAGAAGACCCAAGTTCAAATCCCAGCACCCATATAGCAACCGACAACCATCCGTAACTCCAGTTCCAGGGGATTCAATGCTCTCCTGTCTTCCACGGGTATTGTACAACATGGATGCACTTACATACATGCAGGCAATACCCTCATACACATACAATAATTTAAAATTTTATAAAAAGCTACTTAATGGGCCAGGCATGATGGTTCATTCATGCCTTTAATCCCAGGACTTGGGAGGCAGAGGCAAGTGTTTCTCTTTGGGTTCGAGGACAGTATGGTCTATGTACCAAGTTCCACTAAAACTACATAGTGAGACCCTGTCTCAAAAAAACAAACAAAAACAGCAACAACAAAAAAGCTACTCATAGCAGAAAGAACATTTGCTACATAAGCAGGAGGACATGACTTCAAATCCCTAGCACTCACATAAAAAGCTGGGCATGGCCACACAAGCCTATAACCCCAGTACTGTGGGAGGCTGAGACATGAGGATCACTGGGGTTTGCTGGTCACCAATCTAGCTCAAGGTTCAGTGAGAGACCCTGTCTCAAGGAAATAAGGTGGACAGTGATAAAGCAGGATGTCTTCCTGTGGCCTCTGTCCATGTACACACACACACACACACACACACACACACACACATACACACACCGCATGCGCGTGCACAAAATAAATAAATATATATGGAAAAAAAAAACCCACCCCTAGAGAAATAAGAAAAAAAGCTACAGCAAGAAGAATTAAGACAAGATTTTCCTCCCAAAGGAAAGCACTGGTGGTTCTGAGAGGATGGCTTGGTCGGTAAGTGCTTGCCTCTGGAATATGAGGACCTCAGTTGGGACCCCCAGGAGCTATGTGAAATAGCCAGGTGTGACAGAACACACCTGTAACCCCACAGCTGGGAAGATAAAGGAGGATTCCTAGGGCTCGCTAGTCAGTCGGTCTAGCTGAACTGATGAGCTCCAGGTTCAATGACAGACCCTGTCTCAAAAAACGTAAGGTGGAGGGGAATCGAGGAAGACACCTGATGTCACATACATGTGTGCGTGCACATGAACACATACACATTAAAGATTTTTAGTACTAGTTTTGTACTCTGTTTAATTGTGTTGTAGCTCGTATCTCACTGGGAAAGGATTTTTTGTTTGTTCTTCCTTCTACACCTTCTCTCTCTGATGTGCACATTTTCCTTCTCATTCTTTATGACCTCTTGCCTCCTTCCCCGTTCCCTTTCCACTTCACTACTTAAATACTGATACACATACCTCCACGCCCGAAGAACTATCAATTGCAGTTTGCCTAGTCAGTACTCTGAGTGCTCCTATCTCTACACCTCACAGGGGACACAGCAAAGTGCACGTGCCATCTTCTGCAGCTACACTGCTGTCAAGCCATCACAGCTGGTACTACATCAGCTTTCTCCCCGAAAGTAAATCCAACCAAAAACAATCTACCAGGATGACTTACACAAAAAGTTTCATTAAGGGGGAAAACTAAAATCCAGAGGACACACAGGTCCCAAAGATGCACAAAACACAACAAAGAAATATAAACAAAGATGAGAGAACATTCCACTATGACACACTCACAAGCTGACACTGTCTCAAACCTGGAAAACGGATATAAGATAGCTGATATGCATAAAAAAATTTCAGAGACCTATCCTAAAAAGGGTCCGTGACAGGCTAGGCGTGGGGGTGCACACCTCTGATCCCAGCACTCTGGAGGCAGAACTCAACAGAACTCTGCATCCGAGGTCAGCCAGGACTACTTATTGAAGACTGTCTCAAAACCACCTCTCCCCCTAAAAAGGGGGTGGGGTGGGAGATTGGAGGGATGGGACCAATGACCATACAGAGGACCCAAGTAGACAGATAAGGCGATATATTGTTCAGGACACAGACAAGAAAGGTAGCAAAGTGGATGAGAATTAGTAACTTGATGGAACAATTTTAAAGACACAGAGGAAAAAATTGCCAAGGAAACAGACACTAAAAAAGACCCAAACAGAAACTCCAGAAATGAAAGAATTAACACATACAAACATAAAACTGGGGCTGGAGGGATGGCTCAGCAATTAAGAGCACTGGATACTCTTTTTTTTTTGGGGGGGGGTGTCTTTTTGAGACAGGGTCTTCCTGTAGCCCTAGCTGTCCTGGAACTCACTATGTAGACCAGGCTGGCCTTAAACTCACAGAGTTTAAACTCTGCCTCCCGAGTGCTGGGATTAAAGGCATGCGCCACCACGCCCGGCATCATTGGCTACTCTTTTCTTGCTGAATACCCAGGTTCAAGTCCCAGCAGCCACATGGTGGTTAACAACCATCTGTAACTCCAGTTCCAGGGGATGTGACACCCTCTTCTGACCTACAGAGGCACTGCACAACAGGTGTGCACTTATATAGATGCAGGCAATACACTCATACACATAAAATAATAAATAAACATTTAATATATAAAACTGGGGCTGGAGAGATGGCTCAAAGGTTAACAGCACTGGCTGTTCTTACGGAAGACCCAGGTTCCTATCCCAGCACCCATATGGCAGCTAACAAGCATCTGTAACTCTAATCCCAGGGGATATGACACCCTCTTCTGTCCTCCACAAACACTGCATGACATGGGTGCACTTATACACATACAGGCATAACACTCATACACATAAAAATAAATAAAACTGATACAAATTCTTTCATGTAAGAAAATTATGTACAAATGTTTAAATAAAATATAACACAAGAACTCCAAAAAGCTGAATTCTCTCTAATTTTATCAATAAATGCCTTAAGGCATTTATTGAATATTAAAACAGGCTGGAGAGATAGCTCAGTGGTCAAGAGCACTGGCTACTCTTGCAGAGGACAGAGGTTCAATTTCTAGCACCCACATGGCAGCTTACAACTGTAACTCCAGTTCCAGGAGATCTGACGCCCTCTTCTGGTCTCCATGGGCATGCATGGGTGTACTTACAAAACACTCATACATATAAAAATTAAATTTTCTTTAAAAGAGTATCAGAATAGCCTCAGAAAGCCAGGCATGATTGGATCTCTGTGAGATGGAGGCCAGCCTGGTCTCCATAGCAAGTTCAAGGCCAGCTTGGGCTACAGGAAGACCCTGTCCTAAGAGGACACACACACACAAAAAAAAAAAAAGGCCTCAGGAAGAGTATTCAACATTTTTTAAAGTTTACTAATTCAACAATTTCCAATTCTAGTAATAGAAGAGTAATATTCAAATGGCAGAGGAAAAATAGAAATGCTTTACTTACAGGTGACCCAAGACAAGGTGGATTTTCTATGGGTTTTATCACATTGTGTCTTTGTGTGGAGTCAAGAAAGACATCATCCCAATGTCCTTTCTCAATTAATTCCTTGAAAATAAATTTGTCAATAACTATCAGAATATTCTTAATTATATAACGAACAAATCTATGTATCAGATAATATGACCATATCTTGGTGAAGAAAATATTTTACCTTTTTAATTTTGGAAAGCTCAGTTACTGCTTGCTTATTTCCAGGTTCCAGAAGTAAAACAGTTTCAAAATCTAATGCAAATTAAAAAAAAAAAAAAGTAGTGAATTACTTCATGAAGTAATGATATAAGTAAGTCATGATATATTTATTTAGTAATTTCTTTTGTGACAAGCTCCCATGTAGCCCACGTTGTCCTTGAACTGGCTATATAGCCAAAGAGCACCCTAAACTCCTGATCTCTCTGCCTCCACCACCCAAGTGTTGGGATTATAAACATGCCACCACACTTGACAGCAATCTCATTTTTATCACGAGAAGTTTTGCTCAGGACATGAAGAAATAGAGGAGCTACAGTAAGAATCAGTGTTTACTGAGAGCTGTTCTAGTTGTCTCATGGTCCTGTGAATTACTACAGGCTTAGTTTACAGATGACACAACTGAGACTTAGGGACTTAGCACAGCTCACACTACTAACAAACGATAGAGCAGCTTTCCAAGTGGACAGAATCTAAGAGAATTCCACATTCTAGAATATTATTCAGTTTTTTAAAAGAAAAGAAGGGCTGGAGAGATGGCTCAGCAGTTAAGAGCACTGGCTGCTCTTGCAGAAGACCCAGATTTGATTTCCAGCACCCACTTGACAGTTAATACCCATCCTTAACTCCAGTTTCAGGAAATCTGATGCCCCTCCTGGCATCCATGGGCATTGTATGCACGTGGTACACTTACATAAATGCAGGAACAAAACACTAATACATATAAAACAAAATAAATTTTTCAAATTTTAAAAAATAAAAAGGAATGAAGCCAGGTGTGGTGGCACAAGCCTGTAATCCCAGTGCTTGGGAGGCAGAGGCAGAAAGACTGCTGTGTGTTCAAAGGCTAGCCTGGACTACAAAGTGAGTTCTAGGCCAGCCAGGGATGCACAGTAAGACCCTGTCTCAGAAGTCTGAGAAAGATTCAGTGAAATGGCTCAGCTGGTAAAAAGCACTTGCCACCAAGCCCAACAACCTGAGTTCTAGCCCCAGAACTCAACCCACATGGTGGAGAGAAAAGATCCCCTGTAAATTGTCCTCTGATCTACACATACAATGTAAAAAAGAGGTTTTTTTAAACTAAAAAAAAAAAAAGAAAAAGAAAAAAATTCTGATGTATGCCTCAGCACATAGAAAGCTTGAAAACATGCTAAGTTAAATAAACCACACGCAAAAATACTGTCATGGGGGCTGGAGAGATGGCTCAGGAGTTAAGAGTAGGGGACCCATGTTCAGTTCCCAGCACCCACATGGTGGCTAACAACTGCCCATAACTCCAATTCCAAATGATCCAGCACCCTCTTCTGGCCTTCATGGGCACTACACAACATGGGTGCACTTACATATATGAAGGCACAACACTCATAAAATAAAAATAAAGGCAGGCATGGCGGCACACAACTTTAATCCCAGCACTGAGGAAACAGAGGCAGGTGAATCTCTGTGAGATCAACGCCAGCCTTATCTACATAGTGAGCTCCAGACCAGCTGTGGTTAAAGGGAGAACCTGTCTTAAAAAGACACAGAGACACACTAATAATAAAATCAATCAAAAAACATTAAAAAAAAAAAAACTATTATGAGTCCTTCTATGTGGCATATCTAACATGGTCAGATTCAGCCCAGTATGGTGGCACATGCCTGTAATCCCGGTAGTCAGGAAGCAGAGGCGGGCACATTCAGGCCAGCTATAGCTACAGGGAGACCTTGTCTCAAAAACTAAAAATAAAAAAGTACTATGAAAGAGAGTGGCTGGCGAGGTGCCTCCTACTATTTCCCAGGCCCCAGTAGCTGGCTCCCTCTCTTCTCATTCTTGTTTTTTCTGCTCACCCATAATTCAGATTTTCCATTCAGTTTGGTTGGCAGTGAGGCAGAGAACACTATAAATATCAAGTCAAGCACACTCTGGAAGGTACAATCCTTCAAGCTTATTCATGATCTCCATAATATACTTTGCTAAATTCAGTATCTTTAAACTGTGGGAAGCTACAAAACTCTCTGCTATATCTCAGGGTGAGCATCCAGGTTATTAGAAAGTTATTAGAAATCTTACCTTGTTTGGCCTCATTTATCTTTCCCAAAAATGTTCTCGCAGTTCCTCTTCTGGCAAACGCTTTAGAATACGAGCCATCTAGTAAGATAGCTTGGGTACAGTCTCTTTCAGCTTCTTCATATCTATTGAACATGACAAGATTATTAACTAGAAAAAAATGCAACTTATAGAAGTTATTAGAAAGTTATTAGAAATCTTACCTTGTTTGGCCTCATTTATCTTTCCCAAAAATGTTCTCGCAGTTCCTCTTCTGGCAAACGCTTTAGAATACGAGCCATCTAGTAAGATAGCTTGGGTACAGTCTCTTTCAGCTTCTTCATATCTATTGAACATGACAAGATTATTAACTAGAAAAAAATGCAACTTATAGAAAACATTACACAAGCTGTGTATGTGTGTGTGTGTGTGTGTGTGTGTGTGTGTGTGTCTGTGTGTGTCTTTTTGGGACAGGGTCTCCCTGTAGTCCCAGCTGACCTGAACTCACTATGTAGACCAGGCTGGCCTTGAACTCACAGAGATCTGCCTGCCTCTGCCTCCCAAGTGCTGGGACTAAAGGCGTGTGCCACCATGCCCAACCATAAGCTGTTTTTCATACTGTTTTCTTCTGTTCTGTTCTGAGAATAAGTCTTAATACACAGTAAGCCCAGGCTGGCTTAAAACATGCAATCCCCCTACCTCAGCTCCCCAAGTGCTAAGATTAAAGCATACACATGCCCAGCTCTCAAGAGTGCTTCTAATTATAAAAGCATGTAATTTCAATTAACAATTTTCAAATCTGTATTTGAGAGCAAAGGCTATTTTCAAAATTTCTCATTCCCACGGTATCTCAGAACCATCGTGTAAGGAAGGAAAAAGTAAGGTGTCAGACTACAAGAAGTCAGGGAGGAGTCTACGGGAAAGGTGGACTCCACGATGGTAAACATGAGCAGAGTGGACAAAACAGCAGTGCTGACAGCCATCTCTACCCCTCCACATGTAACGGCACTGCAGTTCCAACCTGTGTTATAGGATTCCTGATACAGCTTCATTAATCCTCATAGTACCTAACGCTTAAAAAAAAACAATCTACATGAAATTCAAGGTTCATTATGTATGTGGTGACACATCATATGATTCTTTGAATAAGTACTACTCAGCTAAGCAACCATCAGTTCAAACTGACAGGCATTAGTCTACTATTTTTAAGAAAAGAGCTAAGAACAGCTTAAACACAAACACACACAAACCAAAAACACCTTCAGACCCTCCCAAAACAATAATTATTGCTATTAGGAGTAGCAAACAGTATTATGGCTATTTATGAAATATTCTTTAGGGATGAAATGTTACAATAATCTGTGACTTGCTTCATAATAATATAGAGGAAAAGGTATGGCTTATTAAAATTAGACAAAAGATACCTAAACTCACTGCACTACTTTCTCAAGTTTGAAAACCTGCATTAAGAATAATTTTTTCAGGGCTAAAGAGATGGCTCAACAGTTAAGAGCACTTACTCCTCTTCTAGAGGACCCAGGTTCAGTTCCCAGCACCTAAATGGCAGCTAACAACTGTTCTAACTCCAGTTCCATGGGATCTGATGCGTCTTCTGGCACATGGTGCACCTGTATACATGAAGGCAAAACATTCATAACACATAAAATAAAAACATTTTTAAGCTGGGCATGGTGGCGCACGCCTATAGTCCCAGCACTCAGGAGGCAGAGGCAGGAGGACCTCTGTGAGTTCAAGGCCAGCCTGGTCTACATATGAATTCCAGGACAGCTGGGGCTACAGGGAGACCCTGCTTCAAAAAGACCAAAAAAAAAATTTTTAAGAGTATTTCTTCAATCTCTTATGACTACATTCTCCCAAAGCCTAAATAAATGCCATCCTATCCTCAAAACAGACCTCATATTTGTAGAGATGTATTTATTTATTTATGCTTGTTTTCCCTTCACTGCCAACCATATCATGCAAAGCCCTCAGAGACCAGAAGATGGCATCGAATCCCCTGGAACTGGAGTTACAGATGGTTGTAACTCCACCATGTAGGTGCTGGGAATCAAATCCCAATCCTCTGCAAGAGCAGCCAGTACTCTTAACCACTGAGCCTTATCTTTAGCCCTGACCTAATATTTCTTGTGTGTGTGTATGTGTGTGTGTGTATGTCTTTATTTTGTACCAACATCGTATTTTTAAAATAATATCAGAGGTTTTATTTTTTGTTATTTGTTTTGGTTTTTTGAGGCAGGATCTCATGTACCTCAAGTTGGCCTCAAACTTGCTACATAGCCAGGATGACCATAAACTCCTGATCCTCCTTGCCACTACCTTCCAAGTGCTGGGATTACTACCCCCTCTGATTTCTCTGATTTACTACTTAAAGCAAGATGAAGACCATGTGTGTTCATGCTCCTATCAGTGTATTTGTTATTTGTGTGACTACATAAGTTTCCCATTTGAAGGGACTTGTACAGGCCCTGCCCCTATCTCTGCCACTGTGTCCTGGATAACAGCCATAGAGATCGTGAATCTCTCCACCCCCTACCACATCTGAACCTGTAGGACACAGCCTTACTAACCCCTCTACTTCACCCCACTGACTCATGCTACTTTGTCGGGGTTCTACGAGCTCTGAACTCCTCCATGTCTGCTTTCTCACACCTGTGCTCATCTGTACCCATGGTCTTCCCACCTGTGTACCCACATGCCATGTCCCTCATAATGTCATCACAGTGTATTTTAATTACCATTGTCTCCTTTTCTGCCTCTCCTTTAAGAAACTTCAAGCCCCGCCCCCTCAAAAAAAGCCAGGTGAGGTGGTACCAGAACTTGGGAAGGAGAGGCAGGTGGATCTCTGTGAGTTCAAGGCCAGCCTGGTCTACACAGCAGTTCCTGGACAGCTGGGGCTACAGGGAGACCCTCTCCCCGCAAAAAACAAAGAAACTTGAATTTTCTTAAAAGGATCTGTACATTTGCTCTCTATATACTTAATACCTTCCATGGTGCCTACAGAACACCTAACACATTTTAGTGCAATAAATGTTTGCTATATACATAAATCAGAAAACTACTATAATTTAAAAAAAAAAAAAACAAGATAAATGTTTAGGAAGACAAAAAAATAAATTCACTCATTCTAAAAATCTGAAATCTCCAAGAAGGCAGATGATTAATCTTTCACAATAGATTCATGTGTTTTAAAATCATTAAATATCCCTTATGCACTTCAACTGTAAACTGGATTTTGGAAAAATCCAATTTATGCATACCTCTTAGATGATGGGAAAGACAAACTAATACAAAATAGAAATAATATAGTTCAGATAATGGCAAAATCCCTGCCTAGCCTTGGCTCCTGAAGCTCTTCTGACCTCAGGTCTGCCTGCTCTATGCTTCCTCCAGCTCTAGACTCCAGCCTATTCCCAATCAGCAGTAAGTGAACCCTCTGCTAAACCAAGTCATAGCTAGATTCCAGTTCTAACACCAAGATTCTACCTTATTTCTGGGACCAACGTTTAACACTGTTTCCTAGTGCTAACAGACCTGGGTTCTTTTCTTGTCCTATCTCTGTGTTTCACTTCAAGAATGGAACCTAGATATGTTCTGGATCCATCCTCTTCAACAACTAGAGTCCTGCCCCACACTTCTGGCCACATAATTTATTAGCACCTCATCAGCACTCTAAGCATCCACCAGCCTACATTTCCAATTTGCCTGCCTGTAGACCTTGTTACTGTAACTCAAGCATGCCTTACTGATCTCTTGATGCCAATTACTGAAACTCACTACCACATGAGAAACATACATTAGCTGGTGTCTCTCCGTCTCTATCTCTGTCTCTCTCTGTGGTGTATGTGCTCCCGCATGTGCATGTGGAGGCCAGAGGTCACTCTCAACCTTTTAGGGGCAGGGTCTCTTAATGAATCTGGAGCTCACCAATTGACTAGAATACTGACCAGGCAAACCCCTACAATCCACCTGGCTCACCTTCTAGTGCTGGGATTCCAGGAATGTGCCACCATGCTCAGCTTTCTATGCGATGCTAGAGGTCCACACTCAGGCCCTCATGCTTGTACAGCAAGCACTTTACCCGCTGAGAATGTCCCCAGTCCAGGAAGTGGATTTCTTACCTTGCTGTTCCCCCACATGCTGGTAGGTAACTGTCTATTCTGCTAGCTCTCCCTTTCCCACTACCAGTCAATTTAGTCAGCTCTCATCTTGACAGTTATAGGAACTCAAGCTATGAAGAATTGTTCAAGCTTCAAAAGTTACCCTACTTGTGTTCTACATTAGCCTCTGTGAAACTAAAAGATATACTAGGAAAAAAAATTAAATTATTTTTGAGGCAGGGTCTCCCTGTAGCCCCATCTGCCCTGGTACTCACTATGCAGACCAGGCCAGCCTTGAACTCATAGAGATTCACCTCCCTCTGCCTCTTGAGTGCTGGGATTAAAGACATGCCCTACAATGCCCAAAATTAAAAATATTTTTAAATATATACTAGAAAAATAATACAAATAAGAGTTATATATTCTAGGGGCTAGAGAGATGGCTCGATGGTTAAGAGCACATCTGCTCTTGCAGAGGACCAGGGTTCAGTTTCCACAAGCACATGGCAGTTAACAACCATGTTACTCTAGTTCTAGGGAATCTGCTATCCTCCTCTGGCCTCCATGTGATGTGCTTATATACATGCAGACAAAACATTCATGAAGATAAAAATAAAAGAGTCATATTTTCTTTGAATTTAAACTATATTCTGCTAACTTGATCTACATTACTAAGGTGATTATCAACTAAAGTAATAAAACCAACACAATGGTATACTCATAAATGCAGATTACTCTCTCACTTCTAAGACGGTATTTGGGGCATTGGACAAACCTAAAGAACTCAGGTCTTAAAATTTTTAAACCAATACGCAAGATCAAAATTTTCATAAGCAGGGTTAGAGAGATGGTTAAGAGCACTGGCCGCTCTTGCAGAGGACCCAGGTTTGATGCCCAGCACCCAGATGGCAGCTAACAACCATCCATAACTCCCTGTTCCAGGGGAATTCAATGCCCTCTTCTGACCTCCATGGGCATTGCACAACACAGGTGCACTTACATACATGCAGGTAATACACTCATATACATAAAATAAAAATATTTTTAAATTTTAAAACTGTTAAATGTTCAGCCAAGTGTGGTGGCACACACCTTTAATCCCAGCAGAGGCAGGCAATCTCTTAGTTCCAGGCCAGCCTGGTCTACATAGTGAGTTCCAGGCCAGCTGGGACTACAGGGAGACCCTGTCTCAAAAAGAAAAAAAAGTTCATAAGCTATCAAAAGATAGAATGATTATTACTAATTAATAAAAGATATAGCTCTTGTGCCAATCTACAGTAAATTTTCATCCTGAAAAGGAGAAGGTAAGCAGTACTTACTTCTGAATCTTAAGATAGGCCATTGCTCTGTTAGCTGGAAGTAGGGCATTGGTGCCATCTGCTGCTATCCCTCTAGTATAGCATTCGATTGCTCTTTCATATTTTCCCTCTTTGAAAAATCCATTCCCCTATTGTTTTGGAGAAAATTATGAAAATCAGAATGTACACAGAAAAATGAACTGAATTTAAATCTTAAACATACCAAATATAAATATTAAATCAATCTGGTTGCCAGAAATCTAGTTTAGAGACTGGGGAGATGGCCCAGTAGGTAGGACCTAAATTTGGATCCCCAGCATTCATGTAAATCCCTAGCCTGGTGACGTTAGCTTGGAATCCTTGCCCTTGAGGGTAGATACAAGAGGTTCCAGGGAGCTTACCTGGTCAGTCAGTCAAGCCAGTTGGTGAGCCTCAGGTTCAGTAAGAGAAGCTAAGATTGTAAGTGACAAAGACCCTCTGGCCTTCACATAGTATATGCACTTTCAGATACAGGTGCACACACACATAACACACACTACACACACACACAAAATTAAAAATACAAAAATAAAATGAATTTTTTTAATGATGCTATTCTCTTTTCAGCACTAAAAGGATAAAATGTCTACTGCGACATTACTCTACAACACAACACTTGTCATTCTACTAAATATTATACAAACATTACTCTAAGTCTTCAGTTATATTAGAAACTGATAAAAAATGGGCTGGGGGAGGTAGAGTTGGAGAAATGACTCAGTGGTGATGAGAACTGGCTGCTCTTTGAGAGGACGTGGTTCCTAGCACCCACACAGCAGCTAGCAACTGTCCATAACTCCAGTTCCAGAGGATCTGACGCCCTCTGATGGCCCTGCATGCATTTGGTGCACTTAAATCCACACAGGCAAAACACACATAAAAAGTTTTTAATTAAAGAAAAAAAAAAAATGGAGCCAGATACGGTGGCGCATGCCTGTAGTCCCAGCACTCGGGAGGCATGAATATGATGAGCAAAGCTGGTGTGGTGGCACATGCCTTGAATCCCAGCACTCTGAAAACAGAGACAGGGTCTCTGTGAGCTCAAGGTCAGCCTGGTCTACATAGCAAGTCAGGCCAGTCAGGGCTGCATAGTGAGGCCCTGTCTCAAAAATTAAAATAAAATAATAAAATGAATATGCTGAATAAAATAGGGAAGAAAGGAGGTAGGGCTGGGGATGTAGCTCCGTGCCCAGCATGTTAAAGGAGAGGAGGAGAGGAGGAGGAGGAGGAAGAGGAGGAGGAGAAGGAGGAGGAGGAGGGGAAGGGAAACAAGAGGGGAGGGGGAGGGAAGGGTAGGAGGACAGAAGAACTGAAAACTCACTGGCAAGGTCTCGTGTCTTAGGCTGGCCTCAAAGCCTACAGAGCTGAGAATGGTCTTGCATTCTTACCTCCCAAGTGCTAAGACTGGGGATGGGAACTACCATACCCCACTCTAAACTCAAGTAACTGTGTTTGTGAAAGAACACAGTACTGGGATAATACTGCCCACTCTTCAATAACATTAACATATATAAGAAATTAAACTGTACTGAAATATAACATTTATAATCATTCAAGTAATGTCACAATCAATGATTCCATAAATACCTATTAGGAATCCTCTGAGGACTCAAAGAGCATTTATCTTTTCACTGAAGATTTGTAAAGGAATATCAGAAATAGTCCCAAGTGAATAACAAGACTGTAACTTATTTCTATGCTGAATTTGTAAGTATCTCCATGTAAATTTACATGTAGCTTGTTCCCTAAACTTAAATGTTTCTATAATTGTTTTAGTGTAAAATTATTATTATGCGCTGGACGTGGTGGCGCATGCCTTTAATCCCAGCACTAGGGAGGCAGAGGCAGGAGGATCTCTGTGAGTTTGAGACCAGTCTGGTCTACATATAGTGAGTTCCAGGCTGCTGAGGCAACAGAGAGACCCTGTCTCAAAAATAGCAACCCCCCCCCAAATTATTATGTATATGTCATCAATAGCTCAATTCTGAATTAGTATCCACCAGGGGTTTTAGTGTACTTTATTTCCACTTCCTATTCCAGAAGAATTTTAATGTTAGAGACAGAAAGTTCACTGATACCCAAAGCACTGAGAGTAAGCCTGCTCGCTGCCGCCGGCCCTCACATTACCCGGTCTTTCTCGGACATGGCTTTCTGCTTGCTCTGCTGCTCTTCCACTTGTTTCTTCTCTCCTTCGGCAGATTTCATCACTGCTGCAGCTGCTTTGGGATTCGAGTCGTCTCTGGATTTTAAAGCCTAGGAGACAAACCACTCAGCTAAAATAAACAAAACACGAGATGCATCTATATTGGCTTTAAAATGTAAACTAGTCAAATACATGACAGTTTCTGCTATGTGCAAATTGGAGTAGCATTTTCTACTCTAATTCACTTATTAAAGTAAAAAGTATATACATATATATGTATGTGTAAAACAAATTTCATATGCTTATTTCAATTAAATAAGCAGTGCCTGTTGTGGTAGTGCACGCCTTTAATCTCAGCACTTGGAAAGTAGAAGCAGGTGGATCTCTGAGAGTTCCAGGCCAGCCTGATCTATATAGTGAGTTCCAGGCCAGCTGGAACAACAGGGAAACCCTGTCTCAAAAAAAAGAAAAAAAAAAAGCAGTAACCAACAAATGTAGCTCTTTTCATACTACTGGGAAAAAAGCAGTAGTTCTAGTAGTTCTGAAGGCCCCAGCCAACTGTTTAAAGCAACACTTCACTTTATATATAGCAATACAATTTACATGTTACATAACACTGTTATAGGATGATCTGATAGGTTCTTTTTTAATTTTACTTTCATTTTATGTGTATGAATATTTGCCTGCATGTTAAGTGTATCACACATGCATGCAATGCCCATGGAAGCCAGAAGAGGGCATCGGATCCTTGGATCTGGAGTCACAGATGGTTTTTAGTGGCCATGCGGGTGCTAAAAACCAAACCCAGGTCCTTTCCAAGAGCAACCAGTGCTCTTTAACTACTGAGCCATCTTTCCAGTCCCTGATACAGTTTTAAACAGAATTTTTTCACTTTTTCTAAGCAGGTCAATGTCAGTTAATCTTTATCACCACACTACCTCTACTTTACCAGTTTAAAACCTGATAATACAAAGAAATAAAATTATAAAACCTGTTAAGAAATCTGTAACATAGGCAAGGTGTGGTGGCATACACCTGTAATCCTGGCACTCAGGAGGCTGAGGCAGGATAATCACCAGGAGTTCAAAGCTAGCCTGGGCTACATATCAAGATCCTGAAAGCCAATTCTATAGTATGTACAAAATCTACACAAAAAGCTTCAACTTCGTGAAATAAAAGCCATAACTAACGCACTTGGTTACAAATTACCTGATCAATTTTCCTGAGTTCATTTGTTGCTTCAAAGTTATTTGGTTCCAGTTCTAATACTTTTTCATAATCTAATTAAAATAGAAAACAAAGAATTTTTTTAAAGGGAGATAGTTTTACAATTTGTACAAAACAAATCATTCGCTGCATGTGACCCAGAACAGCTCTTCTGGAGTTAAGAGGAATGAGCAACTACTAAGCTACTTTCTTCATTCCCTCTCGTGGTAGACAAATCCTAAGAAAACCCTTTGTTATTAAATTTAAATTTTTAAAAAATTATGTGTGTTTGTCTACATGTATATTAGTGCACATGTGGATGCAATGCCTGTGGAGGCCAGAAGGGAGCATAAGATTCCCTGGGACTGGAGTTACAGGGACAGCTGTTAAGTCACCATGTGGGTGCTGGGAACCAAACCCAGGTCCTTCATGAGAGTGCCTGCTCTTGACCACTGAGCCCTCTCCAGCCCCCAAGAAAACCTTTTAACAAATCACCTTCCACCAGCTCCAAGGTTATCTGCTATCATAAAGTGTATGTCAGTAAAGCCACAGCAGCAAAATACATTAGCATCAGCTTTATTCTTTCTCTGTAATTTATACTATAGAAATGTTTTCATAGAATTTACTAATAAAAACATGTTGCACTTTGCATGTACTATCTCCTGCCTCACAGCTACCAACAAGATGACTTCACCTTTATTTTAGAGAAGAGAAACTAGACATAAGAGAAGACACTAGTCACACATGGTGTGACAGCACACAATGTGATAAGAGTTTCAAGCAAAGTGTAACTGGTGGCAAGTAATACATTCTTTCCCAAAATAAGATTATCTTTTAAATTAAAGCAAGTTTTGTTCAAAACTTTATAAAACACTCTCTGAAGATAAGTTTATTGTCTTTATTTAATATTCTTTATATAGTGTGTGTTAAACTATCAAAGAAACTTTTAGCCAAGTGTGGACCTTCAATTCCCAGCAATTGAGAAGCAGAGACAGGCAGATCTCTTGAGATTCAGGCCAGCCTGATCTATGTATCAAGTTCCAGGCCAGCTGGGGCTACAGGGAGACCCTGTCTTTAAAAAAAAAAAAAAAAAAAAAAAAAAAAAGGTAATATCCTAAAGGGAACTGATACCTTTTTTGGCATCCTCTAATTTTTGCAAAGCAAATCGAGCAGCACCTCGTCTGGCATAAGCCTTTGTGTAACTTCTACTTAAGGCAATTGCTAAATTGCAATCAGATTCGGCAACAGCAAATCTGCAATTTAAAAAAAATTAAATGACGTTAATAAAAATCATTTATTAAACAAAAAATTCAAAATTTGCTTCTGAAATTCCTTAGAGATTTACTTCCCAACTAAAGGTATGTCTCCCATCCTTTATTTAATCCTACCAAAAACAGTCTCCCCAGCCCCTACCCCAGTATCAGGGATCCAACACGGGATCTTGCACACGCCAGGCAATGTTCTACCACTGAGCTACACGCCCAATAATCCTTTTTTTTTTATTTAATATTTTATTTATTTTTATTTCATGTGTATGCATGTATTGCCTGCATGTAGGTAAGTGCACCCATGTCATGCAATGCCCATGGAGGACAGAAGAGGCTGTCAGATCCTCTGGAACTACAGTTATGGACAGTTGTTAGCTGCCATGTGGGTGCTGGGATTTGAACCCGAGTCTTCTGCAAGAACAGTCAGTGTTCTTAACCACTGAGCCACCTCTTCAGCCCCAAGCCCAATAATTCTTAATGGTAAAACTAATAACATTCACTTAATGTAAAAAACAAAGCTAATTATCACTACTTTTCTTCTGAATTGTAGTAGAGGTCTTCTGTGCTGTTACACACACACACACACACACACAAAGTGGGGGGAGCTGGAGAGATGGCTCAGTAGTTAAGAGCACTGGGTGCTCTTGCAGAGGATCAGGGTTTGAAGTCTAGCACCCACATGGCTGTGAACAACCATCCATAACTCCAGTTCCAGGGATCTGACACTCTTCTGACCTTTGTGGGCACTGTACAACACAGGTACCCCTATATACATGCAGGCAAAACATTCATACACACACAGTAACAAAAAATATTTTTTTAAAAAAATCAAAGGGCTGGAGAGATGGCTCAGCGGTTAAGAACACTGACTGTTCTTGCAGAAGACCCAGTTCGAATCCCAGCACCCACATGGCAGCTAACAACTGTCCATAACTCCAGTTCCAGGGGATCCGACAGCCTCTTCTGTCCTCCATGGGCACTGCACAACATGGGTACACTTACCTACATGCAGGCAATACAAGCATACACATAAATTAAAAATAATAAAAAAATGTTTTTTAAAAAATGAAAGAGAGGGAAGACAGTTTTTTTTTAAATTGGCAACAAAGAAAGAAAACTGATTATTCTCACACAATAGCTAAAGAGAGAAAATTTAATGTAGAGACATTTACTGAAATGGCTGCTTTATTACCGACAAATAAAACACTGTAAGACAATAAAAGGCATACAAGACACAGATGCAGAAAATTACAAGACCACTTTTGAGGATATTAAAACGTCAGTGGATGTTATTTTGCATCCACCTATAATAAGGTACAATGAATAATCAAATTATCTTCAAACTTATCTATAAATCAAATACAATTCTAATCAAAACCCCAACAGGATGTTTAGATTCTAAAATATATAGTACCAAGTAAAAGGCACAGCACCAAGGACACACAGGACACTCTTGAATAAGGGAAATACATCTGACATCAGACGTCAAGACTTACAAGGCTACCACGGATGATATGGAATGAATGTGCAAACAAGCAGCAGAGCAATGTAAAACAGTAAGAGGGCAGTCCTGCAGACCTGGCATACTGCAGTGCTGCTGCACACCCATGGGCCAGTTCAGCAAGCGTGGCCGTTCCATTACCACAACAGATATTCACACTGGCAAACATGAAAGCAGAATCCCACCTCTAGTACATGTGGAGACTTCAGTGTGAAAAATGCAACTTAAAAAGACAAAAATGGGGGCTGGAGAGATGGCTCAGCAGTTAAGAGCACTGACTGCTCTTGCAGAGGACCCAGGTTCGATTCCCAGCACCCACATGGCAGCTACGAACCGTCCTTAACTCCAGTTCCAAGGGGAATCCGAAGTCCTCTTCTGACCTCCAAGGCATTGCATGACACAGGTGCACTCACTTACATACAGGCAATACACTCATACACATAAAAATAATAAATAAAATATTTTTAAAAAAGACAAAAATGTAGAAGACTATTACAAGCTTGAGAAGGACAGACTTTTATATAAATTATTTTAAGGTGATCTTTCAAAAAAAATCAATAAATTCAAATATATTAAAATTAAAAATTTCTGTTAAGGGGCTGGAGAGATGGCTGTGGTTAAGACCACTGGCTGTTCTTGCCGAGGACCTGAGTTCAGTTTCTGCACCCACATGACAGTTAATAACTGTCCATAATTCCAATTCCAGGGGAATCCAACACCACCTTCTGACCTCCAAGGGCACTGCATAACATGGATACACTTAACACAAATGCAGGCAATACACTCATAGCTAAAATAAAAATAATATATTTTAAAAAATAAAGTCAATTTAAAAAAAAAAAGAATTTCTGCTTTTTATGGAATGTCAGGAGTCCACAAAGAAAGAAAAGGGACCTGGGCGCAGTGGCACATGCTTCCAGTACTTGGGAGGCAAAGGCAGGTGATCTCTGTGACTTTCAAGCCAGTTAGGTCTACATAACGGCAACATAGTGAGACCCTGTCTTAAAAAGCCAAAAAAAAAAAAGAAAGAAAAAAGGCAATCCACCAAATGGCAGAAGATAGTTTAAGTGTCACAGAATTACCTTCCATAATAAAGAACTTTTTAAAAATCAACAGACATTTAACAGAAAATGGTCAAAATATAAACTAGGCATTTCACAGGGGAAAAAGTAAATAAATATATAAAAAGATGATCACAACAATTTAAGAAATACATAGGCTGACCCAGGCATGGGGGAGCACACCTTTAATCCATGCTCTAGAGGGAGATGAAAGTGGATCTCTATGAGTTCAAAGGCAGTCTGGTCTACATAGCAAGTTCCAGGCCAGCCAGAGGGACACAGTGAAACCCTGTCTTGAAACAAACAACAACAACAAAAAAAACCTGCAGGCTGGGGACATAACAGAAGAGTGCTTACCTAGTATGCATGAAGCCCTAGGTTTGATTCCTTAAAAGGGAGAGACAGAGGAAGGGAGGGGAATTAAGACACAACTAGACACAGGAAGGGAGGGGAATTAAGACATAACAGACGGGCTAGAGTGTAGCTTATTTGGAAGAGCATTTGCCTAGCATGCAAAAAGCCCCGAGTTCAATTCCCAATACCACATAAACTCACATAAACTGGGTCTGATGAGGGTAAGCCTGTAAACAAAGTTGTAGGCAAGAGGATCAGAGGTTCAAGGCCATCCTCAGCTCCATAGCATGTTAGAGGCCAACCTGGACTAGAGACCTTGTCTTAAAACACACACACACACACACACACACACACACACACACACACAAAATATCATTTTTATGCCCAATAACCTAAAAGCAATTAAGAAACCAATTTGTATTCACGTTGAAAAAGATACAGAACAGGCATTCCTATACAATGCGAGAGAAAACAAATTGCACCTTTATCACAATTAGTTATTACCCTCTAAGGCCAAACATTTGCAAACTTTATTACCTAGCACTGTGTGCAAAAGTGTTCATAGCACTAAGGAGACTTGTTCCCAGTCCTCTTCTTACTTTCTGCTTTGAGAAAGGTTTCACTATGTTGCCCAGGCTGGCCTTGAATTAACTCTGCAGCCTAGGCAGGTCTTCTGTTTAGGACCCTCCAAATACTCAGGATAACAGGCCTATACCACCAGGCCCAGCGGGAAGTGGTTTTATTTCAAATTATTTTCATAACTTACAAATATGATACATGTATTAGAGATATCAAGTATTACAAAATAAATAAATCTCTAATTTATTATACTAACATTTCAAAGGCCTAAAATATGCCTTTTAAATAAAAAAACTCAGAAACATAATTTCTATTTCCAAATAATTAAAACAGGATGTTGGGCTGGAGAGATGGCTCTGCGGTTAAGAGCACTGGCTGCTCTTCCAGAGGACCCAGGTTCGATTCCCAGCACCCACATGACAGCTAACAACCATCTGTAACTCCAGTTCCAGGGGATCCAACACCCTTTTCTGGCCACTGCAAGGCATTGCATGACACAGGTGCATTTGCATACATGCAGGCAATACACTCACAGACATAAAAATTCAAACAAATCAAAACCAAAAGAAAAAAAATTCCACATCTTGCACGTATGTGGTACACTTGTAACTGATAAATCAACAGTGATACACTGTTAGTAACTAGAAACCATTGTTTAAAGTTCACTCTGCTCAGCAGTCAAGAATACTTGCTGCTCTTGCAGAGAACACAGCTGCCATTCCCAGCACTCACAAGGCAGCTGACAACCATCTGTAACTCCAGTTCCAGGGACTCCAATGCCTTCTTCTGGCTTCTGTGGGCACCACATGCATGTGAGGCACCTACATACATGCAAAACGCTTATAAAAAATTTTTAAAAATAAAATTCTCCCAATAAGTCAGCTACCTGCATGTAATGTTCCCCAACAGTAAATATGTCCTAAGAGTCAGTATGAAGTAAGAATAAGCAAGTACTGGAACTATTTATCACAATGAAAGTTCTGTAGACAAAAGGGTACATATGTACTTTTACAAGTAATGAAAGGAAATTGCTAAAAATTTTACTGAACTAATTTTTTTTTAATCAATTAGGTAAAGAGCATCATTACTTGACTTCTAGAGGAAGAATACCCTACTACAGAAACTATAAAAGCACAGTTTGAGATCCAAATGTTTATAATGGATTAAATAAATTACTCAATAAGGGGGAATGACCTATAAGAATTTACAGAGCAAAGGAAATGCAGTATGTTCACAATCTTACTCGGGAGGCAAAGGCAGGTGGATCTCTGTGAGTTTAAGGCCAGCCTGGTCCACATAATAAGTTCCAGGACAGCTGGGGCTACAAGGAGACCCTGTCTCAAAAAAAAAAAAACAATCTCCAGGCTAGAGAAGTGGTTCAGCGGTTAAGAGCAATGGGTGCTCTTGCAGAGAACCTGTGTTCAGTTCCCAACACCCACATGGCTGCTAACAACAGTCCATAATCATTAATTCCAGTTCCAGATCCAACACCCTTTTCTGGCCTCTGAGGACACTGCATCCACAGGTGCGCTTACTCTCATGCATGTAGGCAAAACATAAAAAAAGTAATTTTAGAAACCAATCTCCATATATACATATACCATTCACACACAAGTCCTCACTTTTTCAATCTAAAGTAAGCTGAGGCTCTGTTTGTTGGCAACACGGGATTATATGGATCAGCATCCATGCCTCTTGTGTAGCATTCAATGGCTTCATCATATTTTCCTTGTTTGAAATATTTATTGCCCTGAAAGAAAAGAGAATTCAACAAAATGGGTATAATCCAAGAACTCTGCCAAAAAAGTGTAAAAAACAGCATCACCGACAATGCCAGCTCAGAGAAATGAAACAAAAGGCATCACAATGAATTTAATCTGAGATGCTCATTTTCTGAATGCATCATACCTGGTTTTATAGAAAGGGGCATTCCAAAACCCTAAGGATATACGACTAAATGAAAAGTCAATATTCTGTCCCTGCTCCTAGGTCAGCTAGGCTCCAGGGGACCAGGGAGCAGCAGGATACCTCCAAAAGGGCCTTTACCTCCACTGAGTCACCTGTCCTCTTGATCAGAGACACCATAGAGACTGCAGAGATTGGGCTCTAACCAGTGTACATTCAATAAAGAGGAGGGTCAACACAGAAAAATGTCCTTGATGCTTCTAAGGGAAGTCATGAGAGCAACAAGACCTTGACTCATCCCAGAAGATGACACAACTGGTAAAGGGAGATTAAAAGAGTTAAGGGGTTACTCTTAAGTCCCTAAGAACTCCTAAAGAGCCTCTACTGACTTTCCCACCCCCCCCCGGCAAAAAAGTTAATTTTTGGCCACCTATAATGATTTTTAAACCCCCAACAGGTGTTCCAAGGTTCGATTCCCAGCACTCACATGGCAGCTAACGACAATCTATATAACTCTAGTTCCAGGGGATCTGACACCCTCTTCTGGCCTCCACAGGCATTGTACACAAGGATGCACTTACAGACATGCAGGCATAACATGAAATAAAACATAAAATAATAAATCTTTTTTTTAAAAAAAGGCATATCCAAATCAAATCTGTTTAATTCTGCCATTAAGTTTTCATAATTTATTAACATCACAGTTATCAAGCACCTTGTGATAGCCCTGCTAGTTTGGGGCCTACTCTTACTCATAACAATTTACTATAAGCTCTTTAACTCATACATGGTTTGATGTCACATACAATGACATCTTCCCTTCCAGACTCCCTTCAAATGATGACCCACCAATCTACAAGCCCAGACCTTCTCATGTCCCACTTCGGACAGGTTAAGACTTTTAATTCCTGGATAGGTATAGTCTATGTCTGTGTTCAGCATGGAATATTGTTAAGATTAAGGGATCACAAGTCCCATAGGGCAAACTGAAACAGACTAAAAAGACAGGGAAAATTATGGAGACATCAAAGGTGAAAGGAACCCTCGCCCCAAAGTCTAAAGTCTCTCACTAGCTGAGAAGCAAAAATTCCAATACAGTAACATTTGCTGTGAAAGTTTCAGTCATAGTATCTGTTAACTTGACAAACCTAGCCACACTGGGAAGAGGGAACCTCAGCTGAACAATAATTGCCTCTATCAGACTGGTCTATGGACACGTACTGTGGGTAGCGCCTTCCCTGGGCACATGGTCCTGGGCTGTGTAAGGTAACTAAGCAAGCCAGGGGATGCAAGTCAGTAAACAGCTGTTCTTCCATGGTCTCTGCTTCAGTTCCTGCCTCTAGTTCCTACTTTGGTTTCCCTCAATGATGAACTACAACCAGTAAACTAAATAACCCTTTTTCTCCCCAAGTTGGTTTTAGTCAGTATTTTATCACAGTAACAGAGAAGCAAGCTAGAACCATTGCCAACAAAAAAAATACTCCTTTATGATAAAATAGCAAGGGCCACATGTAAAGGCTAAATACACTTTGGTAGGGCCTCATTCTTTCCCCTAGAAATTCCTGGGCATCTCAAGACTACTAACTGTTTACAGCAGAGATACCCAACTTTCCTGCATCCATGTGATCTAGACTTCTATCTTATCAATCATTATCCTGTCAGGTGCCCTTCCAGAACCATCTTGTCATCTCATTTAGGTTTCTTAGCAACCACTCAAAGATAGTAACTTTAAAACCCACAAAAATCCCGTATGTTACTATTGTTTAAAAAAAAATTAAGGCACACGCCTTTAGTCCAGCACTCAGGAGGCAGAGGCAGGTGAACCTCTGTGAGTTCAAGGCCAGCCTGGTCTACATAGTGAGTTCCAGGCCAGCTAGGGTGAGACCCTGCCTCAAAAAGACAAAAAAAAAAAAAAAAAAAAAAAAAAAATTTAAGCATGACTCTCCTTTGAGAAGCCTACATCCATGCTCTAGGATGTATCTTTCCTCTGAGCATCTCTCTCTTATGCTCATGCTTAATTAAGCCTAGATTAAAATGTCTTTGTTGAGTTCCTCTCCCCCAAAAAGAAATGAAGCCTCTGTCAGAGAGATACTGAACATTCCAAAAGGTAACCAAAGATGGCCTGTGGTAGGAGAAGTGGAGTGTAATATTCACACCAACAATCACATGCTCACTTCAAGTTACTTCTGTCCACTACTAAAAATCATGACAAGTTCCAGGTATACAATGAAATACACTTCATTTAATACATCAACCACTGAGGTATAGCAATGCTATTACTCTCATTTTACAGCTAAGAAAAATGAGTTACAAGCAGTTTAAAGAACTTGTCACAGATGAGAACCAGGTTAACTACTCTGGCTCTATGCTCCTGACCACTATGCACACTGCCTCCCAACAGGGAGAGAGTCAGTAACAACTGAGTCTGAAAACCCCCAAAACTATGCTGGAAAATTTTAGAGTTTACATGATTTTCTCTACCTGCCTCCCTGAAAGAACCTTAAACTAACCTAAAAGTACCTTTTCTTTTAAAATAAGAGCCTTTTGTGAATCTACACGAACGCCATCTTCTTCTGACTCCGATTCCTGAGACACAGTGTCATGGGTACTATCTTCTTTGTCAAGTTCATCAAGGATACTGTCCTGAAATCGTTTAAGAAAACAGTGCTATAATTACATGAAAATTAAGAAAATCCATTCCACTCAATACCCCTTAAATAGTTAGGCTCTAAAGATCTATGAAGACCTATAAAAGCAAGCCAAATAGCCTACTGTTAAGATTATAACCAGAAAAAAGGTCCCTCTTCAGAATTGGATGTTTGCTGTTTTGCTTAGTTTAAAATCCACTCAATGGCTGGGCATGGTGGTGCACACCTTTGACTCAGTACTCTGGAGGCAGAGGCAGGCAGGTCTCTGAGTTCAAGGCCAGCCCAGTCTACCAAGTTCCTGGCCGTGGGCTGGCGCTACATGGAGACCCTGTCTCAAAAAGACCAAAAAAAGAAAGAAAAAAAAAAAATCTGACTCTGGAAGAGGGTGAGATGGCTCAGCAGGTAAAAGCGGCTGCTGCCAACTCTGACTACCTGAGTTCAACTCCCAGGACCCACATGGTGGAAGGAAAGAACCAAATTGTCTTCTGACCTCCACATGTCATTAATTCCACATGCATGTCATGGCAACTGGGCATATATATACATACATACGCATACACACACATACGCAGGCACGTACACAAATAAATATAAAATAAAATAAAATACACTCTGACTTTGGCCAAGCATGGTGGCCCCCATCTGTAACCCTAACATTCAGGAGGCCGAGGCACAAAGATTACTACGAGTTTGAGGCTGGCCTGGGTTACAGTGTGAGAGCCTGTCTCCAAACACCCCCTCCAAAAAAAAATTTACACACACACACACACACACACCCCTGCCTTTGACGTCATAAAGTAAACTAAGTAAATAGAATCTATGAATCAAATAGTGGTGAGGTATTATGACTTGACAGAAGTTTGCAAAATGTATACACCAATATAACTGGAACCCAATAGCAAAGAAAGGTTTTTTTTTTTTCTTTTACAAGTATGTAATGAGTTCCAGACCAGCCAGAACTCTATCAAAAGACTGTCACACATTAAAAAAAAAAAAAAAAGTGCCGGCTCTCTCTCTCTCTCAATTCCACAAGCTTTGGTTTCACCAACAAAAATACAAAGCAAGGTCAGGCATGGTGGTGCATACCTTTAATCCCAGTAGTTGAAGCAGAGGCAGGTGGATCTCTGTGAGTTCAAGAATTAAAAAAAAAAAACAAAAAAACAAACAATTTATTGGGGAATAGATCAGTGGTGTCATCTAAACCCAAATGGAGAATAAATTATGACCCACAAATCCCCACCTGGGTACTTATGCCTGTAAGATGCTATGAGAATGCCCAGAGCAGGTTTACTCAGAGTGGCTCCAAACTGGAAACCCAAATGTGTGTCTACAGGAGAACAGACACACAAATGTGATATGTCCACACAACAAAATTATAGTCAGAATGAAAAAGAACGAAAAATTGCTACACTGCATTGATACAGATCAACATCAGATAATGCAATCAAAAGAAACCAAACAAAAGAATGCCTACCGTACACTAAATTTATACAAAATTCTAAATTATAAAGCTAATCCACAGTATGAGAGGTCAGAATAGTTGCTACTTCTGAGAGGTTATCTAACCAATGACAGGGATCCTGAATGCATTATAGCTGATCAAGATATGATTTCATGTGCATACAGGAATAAAAATCCAGGAGGCTACCTACTTAAGATTTGGGAATTTTAGTTACATTATACTTCAGTAAAAAAAAATGTTAAACTGAGAAGCAGAAACAAAATAATGAACATAAAATTAGGAGCAATTATTGCGTATCTCTATGAGATTGTAAGGCCAGCCTGGTCAACACAGCAAGCTCCAAGCCCAGCTGGAACATAAAATTAGGAGCAATTATTGCGTATCTCTATGAGATTGTAAGGCCAGCTGGGACTACAGGGAGACCCTGTCTCCTAAAACAACAAACAGGTGCAAGTCCAGAATTAGGTGGGCCAATAGGCTCCCTTTCAGACTTACCTGCTAGTAGCAGCCTAGAGCTCTAGGGAAGGTCTAAGGCAGAGCATGGATAGTAATTCTCTAACCACAGTATGTGTGTGCCATGTATGGGAGATGGGAGACACAAAGCACACAAAGACTATCTCAGATCTGTAAAACTTCCTGGAAGCCTCCTGGAATTATGATTAGCCTACTTTTAGTCAGCGGTGGTACATACCTACAATGCCTATACTCACAAGCTTGAAGCAAGAGAATCGCAAGTTCAAAGCCAGCATGGACAGCGTATGCATCTCTCCCCACAGACAGAGAGGGAGAGAGAGGAGAGAGAGAAGAGAACAAACACAGGCCATAAGGACACTCTTGTTTTTCATTTAATTCATGATTAGTAGCTAACTCCAAGAAATTTTTATCCAATTACTAAGAAATACATAACTAGATTAACTTACCACATCAAGCTTTGCCCAGGCTTCATAATCGTAAGATTTTATCCTGTTTTTCGTGTTTTCCTCTTTGGTGTTTTTGGAAGAATCTTTAGCTTTACCTTTCTTCTTTTTCCTAAAATTTCCATTTCGAATAGGAGGTAGGTTCTGAGTAGAAAAAATAGTAAGGTTTGAGCCTCCGCTCTGCTTTCTTTTTTTGGTTTTGTTGGGTTTTTTTTTTTTTTTTTTTTTTTTTTTTTTTTTGTCTGAGACAGGGTCTCTCTTTGGCCCCAGCTGGCCTGGAACTCGCTATGTAGACCAGGCTGGCCTTGAACTCAAGAGATCCACCTGCCTCTACTTCCTGGGTGCTGGTATTAAAGGTGTGTGCCACCACACCTGACTGCTGTTAACTTTTTGTATAACTAACAATTTGAAATTCTCACTAAGTAATCAAGCAAGAATTTTTTTTCCCCAAGCTGGAGAGAGAGCTCGGTGGTGATTAAGAATACTGGCTGCTGGTGTATGCCTTTAATCCCAGCACTTGGAAGGCAGAGGCAGGCGGATCTCTGTGAGTTCAAGGCCAGCCTGGTCTACATAGTGAGTTCCAGGACAGCTGGGGCTACAAGGAGACCCAGTCTCAAAAAGACCAAACAACAAAACAAAACAAAACAAAACAAAACAAAACAAAAAATACTGGCTGCATAGGACCCAGCTTCAGTTCCCAGCACTCACATGGTGCCTAACTGTCCAAAACTTCAGCTCTGATTGAACTGACACCTTTTTCTAGCCTCCGCTGGCACTGCACACACATGGTGCACAAGCAGGCAAAACACTCACAAAATAAAAATAAATTTAAAAAAATTAAACTAGGGAGATACTGGGAAGAGGGTGAGGATAATGGGGACACTGACTAGGGAGGGAGGAAGGAAGGAAGCCAGATGGGGAAAAACAAAAGAGTGGAGCTGAGTGAATCTCGGGGACTAGGAAACCCAGAGGGAAAAGCAATGCCCTAGAAACCCTATGAGAAATGCACAGAGTGTCTGAACATTGATGCACATGTACACCTGGGAGTGCTTGGCAGGGAACGCAGTGCCAGACAGAAGAGACCTCCCTCAGAGTGACAAGCATGCCATTCAGCACTCATCAAAGAAGCTTCTTTTTCCAACAGATGGAGGCTACTGCAGAGCTGCACATCTGGTCAGCCATAGAGAACATACCTACGTCTGGGAGATGCCTAGTACTAGGTAACACATCTATAGTTGAATCTTTACAACTAAGGCTCGTGGAACATAGCGGAATAAGGGGTAGAGAGACAGCCAATGCACCCCTCAACTCTCACCAGTGAGGCTTCCTGTACATCAGAAAGCGATGCACACAGAAGGCCACAACTGGCCAAGTTCTGGAGACTAAGAGACTGTAGAGTGTAGGATGGGACTCCTATATGGAACATCACCCACCCATAGCTCAGGGACAATTGCGGAAGAGGAAGCAGAAAGACTGTAAGAGAAAGAGCTGATTCATGAACACAGAGAGGTGGAGGCTTCCAGGCCACTGGACACTTGCTCATATGAGCCTGTGGCAGAGGTGATATCAAACTTGGGACCCATGTCAGCTCAATTAAACAAGGGCCCAAAGGGGAGGTGAGAAATAGGTGGTGGGCCAGCACTATTTGAGACTGACTGCTGCTGGGTAACGGAGAGTATGACTTAAACACGAACATCGGATGGGCTAACTAGACTCCAGTGGCCGCATTTACACTGAAGGACATTTGGGTACAAACACCTGAATGAAAAGGACTCAGCATGTATGGCAGAGTGCAGAGGGTTCGATGGGGGGATGGGGGAGGCATGGATGGGGGAGGAGGTCTGGATTTGAGTGGGAAATGCTGTGTTAAACTTTAAAAGTTCAATAAAGAAAAAAAGAAAAGCAGGTTGAGCAGGAGCCAGGGGAGCAAGTGAGTAAGCAGCGTTCCTCCACGGCCTGGGCTTCAGCTCCCATCTCCAGGTTCCTGCCCTGATTTCCTACCTTGGGCTCCTTGATGAACTTTGACCCAGGAGATGTAAAACAAATACACCCTTTCCTCCTCCCCACCCCCACAGAAATTAAATTAATGGGGTTGGAAAGATGGCTCAGTGGTTGAGAGCACTAACTGTTCTTGCAGAAGACCCAGATTCAAACCCAAGCACCCACATGGTGGCTAACAACCATCCCTAACTCCAGTTCCAGAGGACCTGATGCCCTCTTCTGTCCTCCACAGGCACTGCACAACATTGTTGTACTTACACACATGCAGGCATAACACCCATACACATTAAACAAAACAAAACAAAAAACAGTTAAAAAATAAAAACATTTAAGGAACTGAAGAGATGGCTCAGCGGTTCAGAGCACCAACTGCTCCTACAGAGGACCCAGGTTTGATCCCCAGCACCCACAAAGCAGCTAGCAACCTTTGGTAATTCCAGTTCCAGGGAAATCTGCCCTTCTGACCTCCAAGGGCACTGTACAACACAGCTGCACTTCCACATGCAGGCAGTAACACCCATACACATAAAATAAATTATTAAACATATATATAAAATACAATTTAAAAATTAAAAGAATTTTTTCAACTTAATTTTCAAGTGTTTCGTTTACAATAGTGATTATGGGGACTAGAAAGATGGCTCATTGGGTAAAAGCACCTGCTATGCAAACAAGAGGACCCAAGTTTCAATCTCTAACACCCATACAAAAGCCCGGCATGGCCACATATGCCTATGACCCCAGTGGGGTGTGAAGATGGGTGGATCTCAGGAACACTGACTGGCCAGTCTAGCCTCTCTGAAACCTCAAACTTCAGATTCAGTGAGAAACCTGTCTCAAAAAAAATAAGATGGCAGCCAGGTATGTTATCCATACCTTTAATCCCAGCACTTGGGAGGTAGAGGCTGGTGAATCTCTGTGAGATTGAGGCTAATCTGGTCTACATAGCAAGTTCTAGGTCAGCCAGAGCTACACAGTGAATAATAGTTTAAAAATTAAAAAAATAAATCAATATGGTGATGACAACTTTACATGTACCTGATCACATACATGTGAACAATATACCATACACATGGGCCTATACCCCCCCCCACAAAATTGTGATTACATTTGAAAGTTTAATTCAAACACTGATTTTGATGAATGTTGAAAATTGAAGAAAATTATTACCTGGAAATCCTAATTACACCTTTAATTGACAACTCTAGATTCAAACTTTAAAAACTACTTGACTTTCAGCCTTAGTACAGTGAATGAGGAGAGTTCAAAGGCAGGCTGACAAGCTTCCCATTCTACAAACAACATGAAAACCTAGCCATATTTAAACACTCTCTGGCTTAAGAAAAATAGTTCAACCTAGGCTTATTGGGAGCTGACAAGGCAGCTTAGCTGTTTTTGCAAAAGACCCGGGTTTGAATTCCAGCACCCACATGGCAGCTAACAACTATCCATAACTCCAGTTCCAGGGGATCAGACAGCCTCTTCTGTCCTCCACAGGCATTGCATGACATGGGTGCACTTACCTACAAGCAGGCGATAACACGCACATATACACAGAATTTTAACTCCAGTTCCAGGGGATCAGACAGCCTCTTCTGTCCTCCACAGGCATTCCATGACATGGGTGCACGTACCTACAAGCAGGCGATAACACGCACATATACACAGAATTAAAAAAATAAGTATTTTTTTAAAAAAGACTTAAAATATCTTACTGTAGTTAACATAATTATTACAAAGACTTGGTAAAAAGCAGAATCCCTAAAAATATTAAAAGAAGTAAATCACTCCAAATTAAGTATTTTTGTGTTTCTGTTTACTGACAAGGTCTCTTGTAGCCCAAGCTAGATTCAAATCCCATACATAGCCACGGATGACTCTGATCTCCTAATCCTCCCTCCCAAGTGCTAAGATTACAGGCACAGCCACCACACCCAATTGAAATCTCAGTCTTTTCACAAGACATTTTACAAGCCCATGCTTTATTCAAAATAAGTTTGGGGGCTGGTGACATGACTCAGCAGGTAAAAGCACTTGCTACACAGCCTGATGACCTGAGTTTGAGTCCTGGAACCACAGTGGGAGAAAATCAACTCCACAAAATTATCCTCTGACCTCTACATGGGCATTTTTGGTATGTACACATACACACACACTATTAATAAAATTAAATTTAAAGAAATTAATTAATATGGTAGGGTATGGTGGCACACATCTTTAATCCCAGCACCTGGGAGACAAAGGCAGGTGGATCTCTGTGGGGTCAAGACCAGCCTGGTCTACTTAGAGAGTTCCAAGCCAGCTGGGGCTATAGGAGACCCTGTCCCAAAACAAACAAACCTTTGCTGCATACTAACTTAGAAAGTCTTCACTTACCTCTTCAGGAACCCCACTCTGTTTTCTTAGTTCCAGATCCTTTTGTTTGATGTCACTTTCCCAGTTCTCTAAATCCCTCATGAAATCCTGCAACTCTTCAGCATTTTGTTTCACTTGTAGTTGTAATTCAATTGCTTTACTTGAAGTCATTGTGACCTGCACGGTTTCAAGCAATCAACCTCTGGTAAGAATTTATAGTGACAGATCCTCCTCAATTTACAATGGGGTTACATCCCCATCAACCCATCGTAATTTGAAGATACTGTAAAAATTTTTAAACTGGTGTAATGCTACACACCTTGTGAGCCCAGCACTCAAACTGAGGCACTAGTAAAGGTTCAAGGCCAGCAGGGCTGTACAGCAGGAGGCTAGCATACCTAGCCTACCATATACAGCTTAGCAACACAGCACAGTGTCAATTTTTACTATTAAAGATGGTGCACGTGAGAGCTTACTCTCATTATCCAGCATCAACAGAATTGCTAGCCCAAAAAAATAACCAAAAGTCAAAATACAGTTTCTATTGGCACACTCACATACACGCAGGCAATATACTCATACACATAAAATAAAAATAATAAATATTTTTTAAAATGCATATTGCTTTCTCACCGTCATAGAGCTGAAAAATCCAAAGTCAAACCATTAGATTGGGGACTTTATTCAGTTTGTATTTCAGAAACTTAACTCATGATATTCCAAGATACATAGAAAGCAGCAATTTTAAAGTTGAAGAAAATTTGAAGAGATTCTAATTAAAGTGTAAGTCTGTAAGTGAACTGTCACCCTCAAAATGCAACAGGAGATAAAATTACCAAAATTAGCAAGAAGTACTGGCCACTCCTCTCTAGTTAATGTCCCAACTATTTTCTTTAGTCCCTTTTTTCCAATACATACAGCACTCATTATGGGATAGATCCCATATCAAGATATGGGAATGCAAAAAAAAAAAATCTTATGAAAAAGAAAAAAAAACAAAATAATTCAAACACCAAGTAACAAAATATCATGCCAGGCAGGGATTCCAACCTTGGGACTACTTTTTGCATCAAGCAGTTCTTTACTGTGCACTGTAGGTTGGTTGGCCACATTTCTGTCTTCTACAGACCAGGAGCCAGTAATACCCTCTCCCGGACCATGACAACCAAAAATGTTTCCCAACACTGCCAAATGGCTCACGGGAAGCAAAATAATCAGTGTTGAACTGTGTGTCGATACTGTGGAATTGACCAAAAAGATAAGCATACATGAGAGGGTAGGATGGTAGAGTCAAGTAAGGAATCGAGGTGTTCAAACTCCTGCACTTCAAAAAGGAAAAGGTCAACAGAGTAACAGGAGAGAAGCATCAAAGAAAACTGAGGGACAATGAAGGGTTAGACATGAGAGGAAATGATAGGCCTTGAAGTGCTGCCTACATCTGAAAGCCATGTAAAGGCACTGACGGGTAAAATAATAAGACCTTGATGATGGGTTAATTGACAACTTGGCAAGTAGAAAAAAATTCAAAAGATGCCCTAGATTTCTGCTTGGGGGATTGGTTAAACTAGTGAAGAGGATTTTTGAGTCAAGAAATGCAATTTACTTGGGAAGCAGAGGCTTGAAGTTCAAGGCCAGCCTGGTCAACAAAGTGAATTTCAGGCCAGCCAGAGCTACACAGTGAGATCCTGTTTCAAAAACCAAACAGAAAGAAATGCAATTTTAGGGCTGAAGAGTTGACTCAGAGGTTAAGAACACAAGCTGTTCTTGCAAGAGGACCCACGTTTGGTGCCCAGCATCCACATCTGTAACCCCAGTTCCAAGAGATCCAACACTCTCTTCTGGCGGAGGCATTGCATGTACATGGTACACTGACATACATGCAAGCAGAACACTCCTACACATAAAATAAAGCTTTTTAAAAATGCAGTTTTAGGGGGCTGGCAAAGTGGCTCAGCAGGTAAAGTGCTTGCCACACAAGCCTGACAACCTGAGTTCAAGGTGAAGGAGAAAAACTGACTCCACCAAATTACCCTCTGATGTGTACACCATGGCACAGGTGTGTACACTTACACACATCATACAGTAATAATAATACATATATAATAGTAAAAAAAATTTGCAGAAATGCAATTTTGGGGGCTGGAGAGATGGCTCAGTGGTTAAGAATACTGGCTGCTCTTGCAGAGGACCTTGGTTCAATTCCCAGCACCTACATGACAGCTAACAACCATCTGACTCCAGTTCCTGGGGATCTGATGCCCTCAACTGACCTCTTCAGGCACTGCAGGTGCCCCCTACCTACATGCAGGGAATACACTCAACCATATAAAATTTTTTAAAAAAATACTTTTCTAAAGTCTAAAAAATTTTTTTAAAGAAGAAATGCAATTTTAAAAGGAAATGCTTGTGGGTGGGGGCAAGTGGACAGTAGCACTGTTTCAGTTTGGGATGTTGACTATGAGTGCTTGTAGTTCATCAAAACGCATCCAGTAGGTACATAGAAAAGACTAAAAAGAGAAAAGTGGGTGGTATCGGTATAAAGGTAGAAACTAGGCTATTGAGCATACTTGGGACATTGTAACTACTGGAAGCTGGGTGGAGCCTAAAAAGTGATAGTACTGGGAAAGAGAAGTCAGCATCAGAAAAAAACAGCATCAGCACCTGGGACCTGGGAGGAAATCAGAATACAGTCACAAAAGTTTGTGAAGTGGGAGAGGTTAGCAGTCCAAACGCCACAGGGCACATATAAGAAGAGAAAGTGCCATGCCAGGCGTGGTGGCCCACGCCTGTAGTCCCAGTACTCCGGAGGCAGAGGCAGGTGGGTCTCTGTGAGTTCAAGGACAGCCTGGTCTACATAGTGAGTTCCAGGACAGCTGGGGCTACAGGGAGACCCTGCTTCAAAAAAAAAAAAAAAAAAAAAAAAAAGAGACAGAGAGAGAGAGAAAGTGTACTACCATCATATGAACATTGAGGGTATTCGTGGGATTCTTTTCAAGACTGGAAATGAGTTAACAAAATTAGATTACATGGGACTAGAGTAAATTTGTCTTTAGTAATGTTAAGACTTGCTCCAAAATATCGTCTGGGCAGTGAAGGAACACCGAGAGGGGTACGGTGTAATCCCAGTTATTCAGGAGACAGGCGCAGAGCATCACAGTTCAAGGCTTGACTGAACTACACAGTATACAAGGCCAACCTGACAATATGGCAGGCTCTGCCTAAAAACAACAATTTTTAAAGTGCTGGAATGGTGCGCTTGCCCAGCACCTGAAAGGTGTTGAGTTCAATCCTGAGAACTGGAAAAACACACCCACACCCACACCTTAGTGCAGAGACAGTTAAGTGGTGCACACAGAACTGAACCAGTAGTAACCCTCCCTAGTATCTTCGTACTTGATTGTCAGTGAAGGTGGTCTCTCATCTTTGTGATGAGGGCTTGGTGTTGCCAAGGCATTTTCACAGCAGGAGGAACTGGAAACACACACACACACACACACACACACACACACACACACACACCCCGTAACAGGGCAAGGTGTTGAGTTCAATCCTGAGAACTGGAAAAACACACACACACCCACACACACCCACCGGTAAGAACTGGAAACACACACACACACACCATAAGAACTGGAAACACACACACACACACACACACCCGTAACAGGGCAAGGTCCCCTAAAGATGGAGAGAGTCAAACCCTAAGGATGGAGGGAGGGGGCGAGCTGTTTAGAACACCCAAAGTTTTCCAGAGACTCTTCTGTGCAGCTGCGCTTCTGAATCTCAGCCTCAACCGCTACACAGTTTCGGCTTCAAAGCAGTGTCCACGCTTGGATTACACGCGTGCACTTCATCCAAAAACCAAACGAGTGTAACGCTTTGCTGGAGACTCAAAAACACTCGGACAACGCGCAGCAAGACCCCGGGGGTCTTCCTCTTCCCCCACCCCTGTCCGCGGCTCCCGCAGGGGCGACCGCTGTCACCGAGCCTGCGGCCAGCCGGGGCTGCGCGGCGACCGGAAACTTCCGGCGTCCGGCGAGCGACAGACGCGCAGTAGCCAAGCACACCCCCGCCGAAGGGGGCGGGCCGGCCCGGTCCTCCCGGGATGGCTCGGGCTTCCCGCACCGCACACCGAGCCCGGGCAGCCGGGGTGGAGGGTCCGCAGGGGGCCGAATCGGGCCAGGGAGGCGCGCAGCGTCCCCAGGAACGCGCCGGACTCGCCGCCCCCCGTGGCCACCCGGCCCCGCCCCGCCCGGTCCTCAGCCTCCCGGGCTCCCGCCACCGCACCCCAAACGCCCCTGCAGCTGGCGGTAACGGAAAAGTCCGCTCACCCGGCTGGGCCGCCACCACCACAACCGCAATCGCCAAGCCCGTAGCTACACAAGCCGCCGGAGGCCAGCGTCTTCCCATAAGGCCTCGCGCACCGCCCTGCGCCGCCCGGCCCCTGAGCCTGGCTTGCGCACGCGCAGACCGTCTGCCGCGTGTTAGCCACAGTACAGGCGGGCCGCTGCCTGAGCCGAGCGGCTCAAATGTATTTAGAGCGTGAGAATCCCAGAACTGCAGTCATCCTTCGTATTGACAACGAGAACAATAAAGGTTCGGGCTATTTCCTTTGATGTTCCTCAATTTAATCACTGATTGCTGCGTTGCTTTTGTCTACAATGGTTGTCTATAATGCTTGCAGCCTCCATAGGATTATCATTCGAGAAAGTTACTGTTTTCTTCTATCGAGCACTCTAAACTGATCACCCTGGCAATTTTGCGGGGTGTTTTCCCCCTCTGAGTACTTATATTTGTGAAACTAGTTTTTCTGTCTTATCTATCTCGTACTTTTTGTGGGTTTTGTTTTTTTTTTTGTCTTTTTGAGACGAGGTCTCCCCGTAGTCCTAGCTGGCCTGGAACTTGCTATGTAGACCAGGCTGGTCTTGAACTCGCAAAGAGCCGCCTGCCTCTGCCTCCTGAGTGCTGGGATTAAAGGCGTGCGCCACCGCGCAGGTGGCCTATCTCGTACTTTTTGCTGGGAACCTCTTTTCCAAGAGTATGAATCTCGGGTGTGTGTGTTAGGGTACGTCTTTAAACATGCGCTGGCTTATCTAAAAGAAAATATGATGAAGCTTTTAACACTTTTTTCTAACAGCTCTGAAACTGTAAAATAAAACAAACATGACTTTAGAAGTCCACAAAAATAAAAATAAATCTTCAGTTGGATCAACTCTATGATCTTAGACATCCCCCAAACTCAGTTACTCTCAAACTTGACTAAAGTTTATAACCATACATATATGTGATGTCATGGTTGTCAACTTGACACACCTCAGCTGCAGTAATTCTTCCGTGGGACTGGCATGTGGGCATGTCTGTGAGGCATTATTTTGATTGTTGAATGATGTAGAAGATCCCAGCCCAATGTGGAGGGTACCACCTGGGCAGGTGGTCCTGGGTTGTATAAGAAAGCAGGCTGGGGCTGAAGAGATGGCTCAGCAGTTAAGAGCGCTGGCTGCTCTTCCAGAGGTCCAGGGTTTGAATGTCAGCATGCACATGGCAGATAACAGCCATCATTAACTCCAGTTCCAGGGGATCAGATGCCCTCTTCTGACCTCTGCCAGGATTGTATGATGCAGGTTCACCTACCTACCTGCAAGCAATACACTCATAAACACAAAATAAAATTTAAAAAAAAAAGCAAGCGGGCTGAGCACAGGTATGTAAGTGCCGGTATGCTCTGCCTGTGGAGGTCAGAAGAGGGCATCAGATCCCCTAACCCTAACCCCCTGGATGGTTGTTAGCCACCATGTGGGTATAGGAATTGAGTCCAGGTCCTCTGTAAGAGAAGTCAGTGCTCTTAACCACTGAGCCATCTCTCCAGGCCCCTAAGTAACTCTTTTCTCTGTTGGTAGGTTAGTTGGTTGTTTGGGCTTGTTTGTTTTTCTTTTTCAGACAGGACCTCACTATCTCATCCAGGCTGACCTGGAGCTCACTCTATAGCTAGGCAGGGCTTGAACTCATGGTCCTCCCGCTCAATGTCACATACACATGGCCTTCACTCACACAGACTGAAGCCTCCCAAGTACTGGGATTATAGGCATGAACCACCAAACCTCAGCTGCTAAGTACCTTTGGAAAGAAAATTCATGAATCTTGAGACTTTCTGTTTCGGAGATTCTGTATACCATTTGGTTGTATGTGAAAAGAAAGCCTCAAGTAAAAGTAACTTAAACATGACAAAAGATATTCCTCTCTTATGTAAGACCAAATCCAGGACCGTTGTGGCGATCCCAGTGTTAGGTATGGGATCCTACCACCTCCCTGCTCTGTCCTCAACTTTCACTTCAAGTACAATATGGTTGCTCAAGCCCAGCAACATTGTCTGAAATCAAGACAGGAAGGGACAAGAGTAGGAATAATAGTGCCCTCTACAGTTAAGACACTTGCTGTTCTTCCAGAGAACCAGAGTTCTGTTCCTAGCACCCATGTTGGGCAGCTCACAACCACCTGTACCTCCAGTTCCAAGAGATCTGATGTTCTCTTCTGGCCTCCTTGGGTACCCACGCATACATGGCATTGACTCACACAGATACACACACATAAAAATAATACAAATAAATCTAAGAAATATACCTCCCAGATGAGACACTGTATATAAACAGACTGTTTAGTACAGCTTGAGACACACTAAGAGCTTAACAAATGTTGCTTCCTTCCCCTCCCTCCTGCAAAGATTCGGTCCAGACCCTCGGATACAGTAGTTCTTTTGCATTGTGTCTTCTCCCACTTGTCTACCCGAGAGATCACTAAAGAAGTGTGTAGGAAGCACAAGTACTAGGGACCAGCAGGTGAAGGTTAAGGATGATCTGGGGAAAGTAAATTGCTTCTCCTATTACAAAATGAAATCTACATAAGTCGGGCAAATAAGAATGCTGGACAGAATGGCATGTTATTTTACATTGCTAATTTCACATTGTTAATATCTTTCCCATCTTACTGATGGAAGAAACACTGATCTGAATAAGAAATTTGCCCCTATGTCCAGAGCCCAGCTAGATACACAGCAACCTGACTTCATAGTCTACTCCTTGACTGCTGTGTCCTACTAACCTCTTGTCTCACCCACTGGACTGGGAGCATCTCTGTGAAGGACAGGACAAGGCACTGCTTCATCCATCTGGATGCTGTACTTTGCCAGAGGGACCCTTCTGCCTGGCATCTTGCTAGCATTCTGGCCTAAATAATCTGTGAGAAGTCCTTAAGCATCCCTTCTTCCTTCAGTTTGGTCACCTCTACGGCCACAAAAGCTGCATCCAGATGTCCTTCTGGTCCTTGTGTGTCAAGGAGCTACCAGTCTCCACTGCTTTTCCCATAATCCATTCCCTTTCCTGAAACCTGTGTGTGATGTTCTTTATTCATGTTGCAGGTATACCTGGAAGAATTCTTCCTCCCCCTCACTACAGAGACCTGGTGAGCATCAGGGACTTCAGCCAGATGCCACATCCCATGAGCCAGTCTGCAAACTCTCAGTCCTCTAGGCAGAAGGCCCAGACACAGACAGTCAAGGTGAAGATAAACAAGGAAGAGGCCATCTCAGATTTTCTTTAATTGGAAACATGTTGCCTCTGAGCCCTGGCATGAGCCTGGCCCTGTGGCATAGCATCTGGCATCAGGGAGGAATACATCATTGGGGTGGAGATAATGAGCCCCAGTGTCCCTCCTCTCCCATCCTAGAATGTTTCAAATTATGGCAGCTGAATGAACCTTGGTATCAATGATTCTTTCCTTCCTTTGATGCCGAATCTTCCTCCTATGAGGGGAAATCTTTCAAAACAAAACACTATGTGGGAACAAAACACATGTCTGTAACTATACTAGGCATCTACAAGTGGAAAACTTCTAGAAGCAGATACTGAGCTGATCACAAAAACACTTAGGCTTGAGGAGGCCACATGTCTTAGCCCACTCACTACCCCAACCTGTTACTCTGCCCTGTCCTGTGTTCGATTCTCCAAAACCTGAAGATCTAACCTAGAAAAGATCAAAGATCAACGGGTTTGTTCTGTGGCTAAATCACAGTTAGCAGAGTTGTATACAATACCAGCCATTATGATAATCCTAAATTTCTATCACCTGTCCTTCCCAAGAGCAACTGAAGGTACCTTTGCTGTCATAATGCCGTCAGCTTCTCCCTCTCTCCAAGCCCCGAGGACGAAAGGGAAAAGGCCCCTTCCCTTCACATTAAAGGGATCTATGAAGCTATTAAAGGCTCTGCCACACTTTGGAATAAAGAGCTACTGAGGGCCCACACCTCCACGCAGAGAGGGACTCTTTCCTAGTTCATGTTAAAATACTGGAAGGCAAAGGTTTGACTGATTCTCTGCATTTTTCTAATTCTATCTTTTTTTTTTCAAACAACACATGAAAACATTTATCATAGACATATAAGACAGAATTACATGAAATCTCAAACAATACATGGAAATGATTATCATAGTTACATATGACATAATTAAATGAAAACTAGGTGCACCCAAAACATGATAATCAACAAGTTTGATTAGGATGACCTTTTGCAAGTAGACACAGCTGAAGTCATGAAGAAGGCATTTGTCTCAGAAGAGTACTATGCAGCATTATTTTACTAAAAGAACATGGAATCCAAATTACACACAAAAGATAATGTAATAAGTTAATATTACCTGTGCACACACTGGGACTTTGTAGGGTTCCAGGTGAGCTTAATAGAAAACATATTTTTATTTTAGAGAGATTAGATTTTGAATGTGTGTAGACAGTAGAGAGGAAAAAACTTATGAAATTGATATTTACAATAATCTCATAAGGGTGACAGTGAAGGCACGGGTGGAGGGCTGGGGGAAAATCCCATAGACTTTTTTTTTTTTAATTCTATCTTTTTATCTCTCCCTCTTGGGCATTCTGGATTTGGGAATGTCTTTCATAAAATCTGGGCTTCGGAGTTCCCTCCCAGGCTCCTCCCTGCCCTCTCCAGTGCAGTGGAGCCAGCACCTGGACCCTGCTTGACCCTCATGCCCCTCTGGCTACGAGCTCTGTTGGGTGGAAGACACCACATGGCATTCTGGATTTGGGAATGTCTTTCATAAAATCTGGGCTTCGGAGTTCCGTCCCAGGCTCCTCCCTGCCCTCTCCAGTGCAGCGGAGCCAGCACCTGGACCCTGCTTGGCCCTCTGCCCTCATGCCCCTCTGGCTACGAGCTCTGTTGGGTGGAAGACACCACGTAGGCTGTGGCAATATACTTCTTGCCATTTCCGTAGGTGGTCTTGTCCCAGGTGAAGGTCTGGATGGCCAAAGGATAGCCACTCAGGCTTAAGTGGCACCTATGGGGACAGATCAGGGATCCAATCAGTATGACCCACCACTCCACCCACCTCTGTCCCAACAGAAGGGCTCCAGCCTCCTAGGCAGCTGCCAACATTTCATACCCACCATGCCAGCTCCATATGTACAGCAACCTTTCAAAATCTGGACCTTAGTTTCTCTTAGCATAAGAGACAGTGCTCCGCAGTGTCCCCAGAACAACACTCCAAACTCCTAGATTCTAGAGCCAAAGGCCTCAGAAATTAGGTGTTTGCTTCCAGCTTCAGAAGTAACTGGATCAGAACCAGCATCGCGGCAGATACCTGGAACTCCAGCGCGCAAGAGGACCTGCGGCCTCAGCTACATAGGGAGACAAAGGTCCCCCGCCCAATATAACAGAAAAGTATTAGGAATCCTCAGCTGACAGAGACACGAGGGCCAGTTATTATCAGCTGTTCTCTTTGGGGCTCTAGGATCGCCCCCCCCCCCGGCCCCAAACAATCTCAAGCACTAAACTGGGAGGTTTGGAGCCCCAGGGCAGTTGTATTGCTGACTTCTTTGTAGATTAAGAAGAGGAAGGAAGGGAGATGGTCTTGCTGCTCAGATGAAGATGGGTATAAATCTAATATAATTACTTTACTGTCCAAGGAGTAGAACAGTGACTTGTCTAACTCTCCTAGCCACTGAGCAGCAGACACAAGGGCTCCTAATGCTATTGTGGCTGTTGGCAGTTGGAGGCCCAGACACTGCCCCAGTTCGACTGGCCCAGTACTCACTTTTTGCCTGGCCTGGCAATGAAGCACAGGGAGTAGAGGGCAAACTCGAACTCAGGGCTACTGCCAATGAAAGCCGAGCCCATTTCCTTATAGTAGCCGTCCCAATTGAACTGCATGGTTAAGACATCAGGGTATGAATCCCACTGCAAAGGAAAGGGCAGCAAAGAGGGTCTGGTGAAGGCCACATAGTAGAAAGAGGGTAATGCCGGGCATCAACAGTCAGCCAGTATTTGTGAAGGTCCTTGAGAAACGTTCTGGGGATACTGCTTCTTTAAATAGACGGGGGTAGGGGGTGCTGAAAAGATGGCTCAGCAGTTAAACTGGCTGCTCTTGCAGAGGACCTAGGTTGGGTTTCCAGCACCCATATGGCAGCTAACAACTGTCCATAACTCCAGTTCCAGGAGAATCCAACACCCTCTTCTGACCTCCTCTGGCATTGCAGGACATGGGTGCACTTACACAGATGCAGGCAATACAATCATACACATAAAATTTTTTTAAAAAATGGGATAGTCTACCATGGCACTAGGACCCTCTGTCCAGAGCTACCAGTGTCAAAGAGGCTGGAGTCAACAGCCACATGACCAACCAAGAGTACAGGGACACAGCTGTTCCAACATGCAAAAGGGAAGCTTATTACCCCCAATTATTTCCTGGGGTAAGGTGGCAAAGATTTCTTACAAAACTGGAGTTTAGCTCATGTGGGAGACAGGCTTGAGCCTAGGGTGATATTGTAACTGTCAAGGTCGCATGGTTTCCAGGAATCCAGGCTCTGTAATCTGAAACCCAGTATGGTAATGAGGCATCCTACCCTCTATTCTGTGATAGGACATTAAGTCTGTTATTCTAATAGGATGATGCTAATAAGGTAGCCTACTTGCTGTACTGTGATAGGACGCTAAACCTGTTATGCTAATGAGGTATCCTACTTGCTGTGCTGTGATTGGACCACTATCCCTATATAAGCTTGTGCCTTCCTGCAATAAGGCAGACCTGTGTCACTGAACCTGGTCTCCTGTGTCTGAATGCAGCTCCGCTGACACAGTCTCCTCACCAGCCCTGGGGTCCGGGACCGGGCAGAAGAAGCGACGACAGGAGGCAGCACAGGGCAAGCAGCACAGGGCAAGCAGAAGAGCTGCCTCAGCACCAGGGGAGCAAAAGAGCGGCCTCAGCCCAGGGCAAGTGGAGGAGCAGCCTCTCCTGGATGCCTGTGAGAACAAAGGAGCGGCATCCACGAGAACGGAGGAGCGGCTGCCACTAGCAGTGACCGCAAGCTCAGACTAGCCAAGCTGAAATTTCAAGCTGCCCTTCTAAGGACATTCAGGCAGGAAGTAAATACATGTCTTTGTTCTCTGGTTGGAACTTCTACCCTTGGCCTTGGCTTCTCACTGGGATGTGGTGTCCCCAGTCTCTTATTCCCTGAAGTTCTGGAGGCTTCACTTTTGGAATTGGAATGCTATTTCTTTGCAGGTAGATGAGGACATGGTATGCACATTCTGTGTTGGGCTGCCACTGAAGGTCAGGATGAGAAGCAAGTCTGACTGCTTGGAACCCAGAGGAAGTCAGGAAGTTTGGGTACCAGCAAGGTTTTTCTGGCCCAGGTACTCACAGGCCCATCATAGTTGTGACTGTAATAGTCAACCAGACCCTCCTTCTCCTGCAGGTAGAAGCGGATCCAGTTATGGAAGCCAGTGACTTTGCCCTTTTTTACTTCACCTATAATGAATAAATAAAGCATGGGTGATCTGGGCTTCCTTCCTAGCCCCTCCCCTCCAATGCCCTTTCTACCATTCCATGACAAGGCTATCTCCCCTCTCTAGGCTCTGACTTCTAGAGTGTTCACCTGCTTAGCCCCTTGCCTGACTCTCTGGGCTCCCTCACACCCCTGTCCTCCTCTTTTGGCTCAAGGCCATGGGAGAATCTCTTCTCCTGAACAATCTTAAGGACTGCTCTGGGATTCTCCTCTGTTCCCCTGGGATCAAGCCAGACTCAGTGGGAGCTTTATAGGATGAGGGGGGTATGGAATGGGATACTATGGCCTCCTTGAGAAGCCCCTAACCAAGCCATGGAAGCAGAGGACTCAGAGGCAGACATGCCCCCCAACACTTGTTCATACTAGATGTGCCTCTGGGAGCCTCCGTTCCTGACCTTTTTTCTCTCTGAGATATTCTAGTGAGACTGTCCTCAGCATGACTTCTCAGATGTCTCCCCACTTGGCCTGTGAGTGGATATGTCCCTTCCTGCCAAGTGTTGTGGGTGCCTGTTAACCAATCCTTAATGCTGTCTAGCCTCCAAACAGAGCCATTCCTCCTCATCTTCATCCCCTCTACCCTTCCCTGCCAAACAGAGTGAACCTACCTGAGAAGACGTGCTCAAAGCCACTGGAATCCCCTTCTTCACTGCCTCTTGAGTAGAGCCCAAACCACATGTTCTTCAAGTCCTCTGTGAACTCTTGTTCCGAACTGTAGCGGTCTGTGGAGAGGAACACAAAGGACTCTAGAGGAAAGAAGTGGGTCAGGTACTGGGGAGCAGGGAAGAGAGCCTGCTCCAGTGCATCAGGAGAGACGGGTTCAATCAACAAATGTGACCAGCTGCTTATTCCACATGATCATTGGGGCCTAGAACAAAAAGCTGAGGACTCTGCAGAGACGACTAAGAGGCTCTGTCTCTATAATTTATATTCCAAGGTAGGAGACAAATAATAAACAGATACTAAATAATTATTTTGGATGAGTACTAAGACACGTCCATCACAACTAGAGGGGGAGATAGGAGTCTAATCATGTCTTGAGCATGTTAGAAACTTGATTCCGAGTGTAATAGAATTAAGATATAGGACCTTCAAGAAATGACTACGCTATGAGGGCTCTGCCCTATGAGTGAATTAATGCCATTTTGTGGGGTTCCTTATCAAGGGGATGGTTTTATTTAAAAGTATTTTTTAGAGCTGTGTGTGTTGATAAATGCCTGTAATCCCAACAACACTTGGGAGGTGGAGGCTAGAGGATCAGAAGTTGAACGTCATCCTCAGCTACAAAATGAGTTCAAAGCCAGCATGGCTTACATGAGACCCTGTCTCAAAAACGACAACAGCTTCCTTTTGCCTCTTTTTCACTATTTGCCCTTCTGCCTTCTTGCATTGGTTGTCACAGTTTGAAAGCCCTCATGAGATGTCACCTCTTCCTCAGTCTTGAACCTCCCAGCCTCCAGAACTGAGCCAATAAATTCCTAGCTATTATAAATCATTCAGGCTGGTATTTTATGATAGCAGCATAAAACAGATTGGCATGGGATCTTCTAGGAGGTGGCTCAGAAAGGCCTCTTTGAGAAAGTAGCACCTAGCCAGGGGTGGAAGTGCACACCTGTAATCCCAGTGCTCAGGAAGAGGAAGCAGAAGGATCATGAGTTCAGAGCTATCTTGAGCTACATAACAAGACTGTCCTAAAAGCAAAAATGGTGTGTGTCATGAAGATTGCTGATCAGAGACCTGAAGGATAAGAAGTTCTCTGCACAAAGATTGGAGAAGACTTTTTCATGGCCAGAGCACAGTGTACAGGGTGGCAGGGGGAAAGGTCTGAGCAGTAGGCAGTGCCTAGAGCCTGCAAGTCATGGCAAGAAGGTCTGATCTCAGTTAATTAGTAATAACACACAAATACTGTAGAACTATGGAGCACTTTCTGTGTGCCGAGCACTGTTTTAAGTGCTTCCTGTAACACTATTAAATCTTCACATAACTCACAAGTGGTAGCCACGGCACTTGAGCCTCAGTCTAGCTCCAGAGATGGATCTTTTGCCAACTGGACAGCCTCTTTGTGGTAAATGGACATGAAGGGTTTTAGGCAGGGGAATTGGCAGGAGCTTTGTTTTAAAATGACCACTCTGGCTGTGTATGTAAAAGAGTCAGTGGGGTCACATAGGCGAAAGCAAAGAGGCCAGTTTTGAAGTTAATTCTTTGTCTATAATGTTGGTGGTGGCTTACACGAGTGGTAGCAGAAAAGAATGGTAGCAAACAAGTAGATCTGGAATATATTTTGAAAGTGGAAGTAATGGACATTACTAGTAGGGGAGGGGGTCAGGGAGCAGTGAGGTAAAGAGAAAAATCAAATCTAACTCTTGGGCTGGGGATGCAGGCTCAGTGGTAGAATGCTTGCCTAGCATGCACAGGACCCTAGGTTTAATTCCCAGTAACACAGACACACAGACATACACACAGACACAGACACAGACACACACAGACACACAGACACACACACACACACACACACACACACACACACCCTAACTCCTGACTTCTGGCCTGAGAACTGAAGGGGTTATGATGATGTTTATGAGACTGAGGAGACCTACGGAGGAGGAGGTCTGGAAGAGGAGATGGGAATTGTGAGTTCTCTTTACATTGTTTTTACACTATGAAGATACCAGTTAGATAACCAAGTGGAAATGTTGAGCAGGCCACTGGGCCCAAGAGGAAGGTCGGGGCTGAAGTTTTAAATCAGGGAGTCATTAACTACTGTTGACTTCCCAGAATTGTGGGTGGAGGATCCAAAACAGATACCAGAAATATTCTCTCCTTTCAAGGACTTCAAACACTGTTGGAAAACAAGACTAAATATATATGAAATGACACACTGGTTTCACAGACTAAATAGCTGTCTTTACTAGCACTTGCTGGGTGTTTTCCTTTGGGGACTTCACAAGCATTAATTCCCAAAGACTGCATTTCACAGATAAGACTCAGAGAGGTAAAGTAACTTGCTCAAGTACCTTAGCCTGCTTTGTGCTGCTGTAACAATATTGCTGTGACCAAGGAATTCATATAGAACAGAAGTTTAGTGTGTCTATTTGACAGATGCAAGGCAGTTACTGTCTGCTTTTAAGGTTTCCATTACAGATGCAAGAAGAAAGTTTCCTCACACTTCCTGTCTGTCTGATTGTGGCAGCCAAGACCGAATAGAGGAACACAGAGAGAAAAAAGAAAAGAAAAGGGGAAAAAAAGAAAAGAAAAAAGTTTAGTTAACTCACAGTTCTGGAGTCTGGGAAATCAAATATCAAAGTGCCGGCATGTGGTGAGGGCCTTCTCGGTGCACCATAATATTATTCGGCAAGGCAAAGCTAGCATATCAGAGAGATCTAGCTTCCGTAGTAAAGTACTCTTTTGATAATCCATCAATCCACAAATGAATTCACCTCCCAAAGTTCTCACCTCTAGATATCATTAGCACCGGGCATTAGAGATTAACTTTCTAATACATGAAATCTGGGAGACATCTTTAAAGTATAGCCAGAGTCAAGTGAAGCCTGCCTGGCCCTAGCTATTTGGTTCTGTACCCTATTCTCTTAACTTCTGAAGAGATGCTGAAAGCCAACATGAGTCAAGGCCATCGGAGCCTTCATAAATGTGGTGGGAGAGTAGGATCTGGACAGGGAGGGAGAGGGCATGAGTGATGAATAGCTTGGTCTTCATATTGGAAGCTCTATGGTGGCTTAAGTCAGCTAGTCCCGCTGGGCCTGTTTCTCTTCCTGAAAAACCGTCACGTGTTTTACCACAGAGTAGACACCAGGGGGCAGCACAGGATTGCAGTCACCGGATAGAATCCTTCATGCCCTTTACCTTAGAGTTGGTTACTCCCTGCCCAGATACAATGTGTAGCTCTGTCCAGAGGCAAGGGAGACCTGCACAGAGCCACCTCTGAGACAAAGCCAAGCTTGCCAGAGTTCAGGAAAGGAATCTGGAGGACACTAAGAAACAGAATCCAGAGCCAAGAAGCCCTGCAGCCAAACCCTTTTCTGGTCTGATTTGCACGTATCTGTATCTGGAGGTGGTCCAGCCAGACCTCTTCCCAGTGACCTGCCCTCTGTGACTGAGCCTTTGATGAGTTTCTGTTGCTGTCCCCTGAAAAATGAGCCTGGGAGGAGGAAAAGGGGTCAGGGACTCTGCCAACCCCAAAAGTAGTATGACTCTAGGGTCCATGATGTGACTGAGAGGTACCCAGGACGGGAGAGGCTCACGCCATCAGAAGGTAGGGAAACAGCAAGACAGTTGACATTCAATCAAAAGTTGGGTGATTTCCAAGCCAGCCAGCCAGAGGGTCCACTGGCCCCTGCTGGGGTTCCTAACCTCTCTGTGGCTTCCATCAGTGTTGTGTACGATCCCCTCCCTTCCAGATGTGCAATATTCCCTGCTCCCTCACCTGCTTTCCCAGCCTCCCCCTGAAGAGGCCTTAGCAGTGTCTGGATCTTGTGTAGACATACCACATTCCACAACTTTGTGGGGCTGGGACAGCTCACTCACTCTGCTGATGGAGGAAGCCGTAGAGTTCCTTCATGACTTCAGTCTTCATGACCTCTCTGAGGAAGACACCCTGCTCAGCCAACTGCTGAGCGCTGAAGTGCTCCCCATGGCCTATGGCCCTCTGGTAATTGTTGAGTAGGTTGATGAAGGCCGCATAGGTTGGCTTAGAGAACAGCTGCTCGTTGACATAGGTGAAGAGCCTGGGGCAGGTGGATAAAGACCATTGAGATGCAGTAGAAACCCTTCTAAAATCTAGACAGACCAGGGACAGCACACAATGGTTTGTTCAGGAGCAAAGGGAAACTTAGGTGCTTTACAAAATATATTTAATGATTTTATGTATATGCGCTTTGCCCGAATGTATGTAAGTATATGCATGTGTGCAATGCCCAAAAGCCAGAAGAGGGCATGGAATCTCCTGGAACTGGACTTATGGGTGGTTCTTAGCCTCCATGTAGGTGCTAGGACCAAACCCTGGTACTCTGCAAGAGCAACCAGTGCTCTTAACCACTGAGCCATCTCTCCAGCTTAGGTGCTTTTGAATGCCAAACATAAGATCTTTCATTTCACCTCTTGGAAGGTCAGTCCTATCCTTAGCCTGGCCAGCCACAGAACCACTCTCACTAGAGACCCACCAGCCCTCAGGCTGATTTCTTCGTCTCTGGACACCAGCTTTTCCCCTCTCCCCTTGATCCTGCTTGACTTGAGAAACAAAAGGATCCCTATCTAAGATAAAGCATCAAAGGAAGGGAGGGTGGAGGAGAGCCAAGGTGAGGGTGGGAGGGAACAAGGGACACCCACGGCTCCGGGCAGCGATCCACTTGGTCTCCAGTCTCTCCTGGGGAGATACGGTTTTGGCTATTGAGGATGATGTCTTCCTTCTGGGCCTTGTTGGTGTCGGCCCTGTAGATCTTCTCGGAGATGGTCTGAAGCTCCTCTCTAGTTATGGCATCGCTGCTGTGGGAGAAGCCCTCTGAGAGGAAATGGGAGAGGGATGGTCTCAGAGCCAGAGGGGAGGGGGACCAGCACTGTATTAGGAGGAACAGCGTTCCTTCAGGAAGTCTGAACCAGCTAGAGGGGACCACCACCAGACACTCTGTGGTTAGAGAGCAGGGCCGTAAAGGACCCTTAAGATCGGTGCGCATCACAGCCGGCGTCTACAGAATGTTCCTATCTGCCCCAAGCTTGAACTAAGGAGGTTCCCAGACTGAGGCAGGCATCAGAATCCCCTGGAGGATTTGTTCAGAATGATGAGCCCAGAGCAGAGTTTCTGATCTGCCGGTCTGGGCGCATGTAGCCCTAGGGTTTGCCTCACTTAAGGATTCTCAGATGCTGCTGATGCTGCTGGTCCAAGGACCACACTGTGAGAACTCTAGAGAATTCCCTTGTGTCTGGGGCTATGCTGGGGCAGCGGACTGACCGTGGTTACCACACAGGCTCCCAAAATCCTCGCAGCAGTTCCCAAATTCTTGGCAGCGGACATTGCAATGGCAGGGGTGGTGCCTGTCGTAGGCTTCCCGGCAGCGGCCCTGGCAGGAGTTGGGTGCGGAGTACAGGTCTGAGAGGGCAGAGAGGAGGGTGGACGCCCATGACGACCACTAGAGGGCGCGCTGGAACCCAAGGACCGACTCCGCTACCCACCCAGGCCGAGCCTGACTCCTGCTTGCTAAAGGGCTCCCGGAAGGAAAACAAACAAGCTCAACTCCTTGCACACCCTGCAGCCAGGAAGTCTTTTCTGATGCAGAACTCTACTTTCTGGCTTGTTGTTTTTATAATCTTCCCACTCTAAAAATAAAATCTTTTCCACTTCCCTCCCCAGCCTCAGACTCCCTTTCCTGGCCTGCCCTCCCCTAGACTGCTCAGATCAAGCTGTGGGTAGGCCCAGCGAAACTCATTCCCCGGGCTTAGACACGGGCCCCAGCCTCTGGCGTGGTCCTCTTTCCCCGTGTCACCCCCTTCGTGTCTCTCCTTTATCCTGAAGGCTCCCTTCTGGGGTTCAGGCTTACTGCTGGCTGGGGCCTCATCCTCTGGCTCCAGGAATGCCTCTGACTCTGTGGGGCCTTTGTCACCTGTAAAGCAGAAAAATAAATTCACCAACCAACCCCCGGGATTCCCCTCCTGCTTTTGCCCCGGCTCCCAGCTTCCAGCCTCGGGTTGGCATGTGTATATGAAGGGTGTGTGGTCAAGTCCAAGATACTGGAGCTGAGGACTGAAAATGGAAAGCATTTCCAAAGGAAGTCAGATTACCCAACACTTAGAAAAAGCAGAATAATTTCCCCGGGGAACAAATTTTGTACCGTTTTGCCAAGTGGCACCCATTACACTCGTGTGTAAAAAGAGGAGGAGGAGGCGGGGCGGTCCCTTCTGGATTGAAAACTGATTTTGGTTATTACAGATGAATAGAGAGTCTTCGCATTCTCCAAGGACAAGGCCCTTGGTTCAGAGCACACTGTTCCTATTGAGACAGTTGTTGGGGACCCACCTCTCCCCAGGGGACTGGGCAGGTGTTAAGTATTAAAGCATTCTTAAAAATCACTCTCTGTGTTAATAAGTTCACTAAACTTTTGCTGTAAGCACTTCTGATGCTTTCCTGTAAATATGCAAGACAGTGGAGGATGGGACAATCTGACTCCCTAAGTGGCAGGTGGATTGTCTTGCTGCCTAAAAATGCCTTGAGTAAAAGGACTGTTCATGAAACAGCCAGCCAGACTACCCAGATGCCAGCTCCAGCCATTTTAAACACTCCGCCAGAGATGCCTGGAGGAAACTGCATGCTGATTGCAGCTGGTTGCCCCAGATCCTGATGCTACATGCCAGGCCAACCGTTTCTAACAATTCCCACCAAACTTTGTGCAATCAGAAGCCTCTGTGAACTCTAAATGACTCTAAAACAATTTCCAGCCAGGCCAGAGGTAGTACATTCCCCCTGCTGACCTAACACAGCCTCTTTAACTGTAGGTCATGGTCCCCTGTGGGGTCATATAACTGAAAGATGGAGCTTAAACAATTTGGCAACAGTAAAATGTTTTGCAACAGTCAATGACTGAAAATTAAAAATGAATCTGAGGTGTTTCTGGTGGCGCTCACTGAGGCATCAGGTACCTTCACTGCAGCCTCGGCTCTGAACAAACAGAATGTACAGTTTGCACTACACACGCCGTCACAACACCCAGGGCCAACGACTGTGCCTGAATCTCATCTGCTCAGGTTTAGGAATACTGTATACTATGAATCCCAGTGCCTTTTGTTTGATTTTTCTTTCTTTTGTGGGACAGGTTCTCACGTAGACCAGGCTGGCCTAGAACTCACTGTGTACCTGAGGATGACCTTGAACTCCTGATCCTCCTGTTTCCATTTCCTAAGTGCTGGGATTATATGCACTACCATACTTGACTGCTTTCTGACTTATAGAAGCATAATGATTTAATTGTGGAAAATAAACACAATATTTTTCTACTGTCATACCTCAGTATATAAGCATCAAACTAATTTATCTTGGGACTAGAGAGATGGCTCAGCAATTAAGAGCACTGGCTGCTCTTGCAGAGGACCCAGGTTCAGTTCCCAGCACCCACATGTCAGCTAACAACTATCTGTAACTCCAGTTCCAGGGGATCCAACAGCCTCTTTTAACCTCCATGTGCACTGAATGACACAGGTGCACTTCAGTACACGGAGGCAATACACTCATAAAATAAAAATAAAAATTATATGAAAAATTCATTTATCTTTGGATTGTATCGTATCATTAGAATGTTTGATTTTTAAAATTGTTCTTATGTTGCTTAGTTAAATTTCACACACACACAAAAAATCCTTAAATTAGCTTTGACTTGGGATTCATACAGAATTTCCAACAATTTAATAAATGGTCCTAAATATATTTCTGCCATTTTGAGCTATGCATTTATGCATAATGAGGTTCTCAAGACTGACCATTACAAAATCAGCCAGGCATAATGGTGCACACCTTGAATCCCAGCACTCAGGAGGTAGAAAGAGGCAGATCTCTGTGAGTTTGAAGTCAGCCTGATCTACATAGTGAGTTCCAGGTCACCCAGAGCTACACAGCAAGATCCTGTCACCAAAAAGGGGGTGGGGATGGGGGGGCTGAAAAGATGACTCAGAGGTTAAGAGTATTTGCTTTTGCAGAGAACCCAGGTTGGGTTCCAAGCACCCATATGACTATCTTCTGGCCCTCTTCTGGCCTTCCTTAGGCATTGTGTGTATGTGGTATACCTACATATGCAGGCAAAACACCCATACACATTTTTAAAAGTCATAAACATTGATCAACTCTGAAAAACACTGAATATGCCCTCTGTCCTATAGCATCAAATATTCAGGCAAGATTTAATTCCTTACGTAAAAATATATAAATGTAAAAATATGTAAATGTTTGATTTGCATACTTGGTCTTGGGTTTTTTTTTATTATTTATTATTTTTATTTTATGTGTGTGAGTGTATTGCCTGCATGTGTATAAGTGCACCCATGTCGTGCAATGCCCGAGGAGGTCAGAAGAAGGTGTCGGATTCCCCTGGAACTGGAGTTATGGATGGTAGTTAGCCACCATGTGGGTGCTGGGAATCAAACCCAGGTCCTCTGCAAGAGCAGTCAGTGCTCTTAACCACTGAACCACCTCTCCAGTCCCTGTTTATTTGTTTTTATTTTTTGTCTTTTTGAGACAGGGTTTTCCTGTAGCCCCAGCTGGCCTGGAATTCACTATGTAGACCAGGTTGGCCTCAATCCCACAGAGATCCACCCACCTCTGCCTTCCGAGTGCTGAGACTAGAGGCATGTGCCACCACACCCGGCTCTGCACACCTTGGAATCCTTCCCATTCTCTGGGACTCTGTCATTTTGCTTCACATGACTGTATCTAGAGTCATGTAGAAATTTCTCGGGCAGAAAGGGGCCACAAGTAGAAATTTAAGGAGCCCTGGCTTAGAAGAGGGATGACTGTAACTGGCACAAAGGGACAATGCCATGATTGGGGTAAACAAACATTTATTTGCATGAAAGGTTTGTTGTGATTGGCGCAAGCACCCCTTCTAGCCATAAAGCAAGCTTCCAAGAGCTGGATGGGAGACACCCTCCTGTGCTGCCTCCCTGGTATCATGACATTACGCCCCCAAATAGACCTCTGTTGATGGGTCCTTTCTTCCCTACTTTCAGTAGAGTGGGCTGAACTGGTAACCCAAATTAAAAGCAGCAACAACTGAGCTGCTAAAATTAAGAAAGTTGCAGCAAGGTGGGCGAGGTGGTGCACGCCTTTAGTCCCAGGACTGGGGGAGGCGGGGCAGAGGTAGGTGGAGCTCTGTGAGTTCAAGGTCAGCCAGGCCAGCTGGGGCTGCAGGGAGATCTTGGGGGCTGCAGGGAGATCTTGTCTCAAAAAGACCCCCCCACCCCCCAAAAAAAGAAAGAAAGCAAGCAAAGAAAGTTGCAGCATCAGAGCAGCAACGGGAACGGCAGCCAGCAGCTTTGATGGTGGCAGAAGGGAACCATGGGAGATGTACTGCCTTTGAGACACACATTAGCTCCTCGCAGGAAGGAAGGGCAGGGCTCACTGTGGATCATGAGACTTAGAACCACTCTCCTGATTGAACAAAGAATACATGATTACTTCTGTGGGGTCAGTGCACACACGGGATGTGTAGACTCTACTGGTTAGGCCCATGGTGTGTTCAGAGAATCTCAATAAAGACCACCCAGGTTCCTATCCGCCCCCATTATAAGTCTTATAAAAGGGCACTGGATAGGCAGCACAACAGTAACCCTCTTGGACTCCTTCCCATTCTCTGGAGTCTTTCTCATTTCTGCTTCACAAATCTATTCACCTTGCTCTCGCCTTATCAATGTTTCCTTCCTCTTCTTAGGTAGGAGACAATAAACCAGGAAGCCACCAGCTAGGGGCAGCTTCGGTGACCCCTGATTGTCCAGCACCCTAGCTCCCTGGGTTAAGCTCACCAAGAGCCAAGAAAGGCTCAAACATACTCGGGGAATCCACGTCACCTTGACAAGTGGCAGAGGCAGCAACAGAATCAACAGGAGAGACAGTAGCTGCTTCCCAAGTGGTGGCATCCTTGACAGAGGCCACAGTAAGTTACCTGCTTTTGTCAAAGGCTGAGGAAATTCTGACTTCCTAGGCCCACACATGAGCTATAACACTTGCAGAGCTGAGGGTCCTGGTAACCTGAGGCCTACCCAAGAGCTCTTACCCACATAAGAGCTATAACACAGAGATACAGGTCCTAGTACCTCAGGCTTACACAAGAGCGGTAATGCTTATAGAACAAAGGGTCCTGGAACTCAAGGCATACTCACGAGCCATAAACCTAGAGTATACCTCCTGCCTGCTGCTACCCTGCTAATGGCTATGAAATGTGGAGGCATACAAAAGCTGCCACAAAGCAGAGTTCACCTGGGAATCTGCAAGATTGGCAGTCTAAACAAGGAGACTATTCAAAAGTGATTTTCAGAAAGTATCATTTAGTTGGGTCTCTTACAGCAGGCCTATAATCCCAGCTACTTAGGAAGCTGAAGCCGAAGGATCACAATTTCAAGGCCAACCTGTACTACATACCAAGTACCAGGCTGGCCTGGGCAACTTAGTGAGACTTTGTCTCAAAAGTAGAAACAGAGCTGAGGACACAGCTCAGGGGAGGCGTACTTACCTTGTGCACTGGAGATCTGGGGTTTAGTCCCCAGTACAGAAAACATCTTAATTTAAATTTGTGCCAGTAGAGGAACAAATGGCCTTTGGGGAAAGGCCATGCCCTGTTTTGATTGGTGACCTGGAAATGAGGGTCTGGAGAAGTGGTTGCTCGGTGTGCTCTCCAGACCACGGTCTGTATTGTGTGCGTCACAGAGACCATCAATCTCCCTGGTGCCATCCAGGTTGTAAGAGATCTCTACCACCTTTGTATGTCTGTGTGTGCTTTAAAGTATGAGTAGCATTATCAATAATAACACATGCCAAAGCATCATTTTATCATTTTGCTCTTGCTTTTTAAATAAGTACTTAAACTTTCAAGATACTGTTAATTCTGATGGTTCAGACAGATCTTCCAAGTGAATGGCATCTGTCCCATGTTCCATTAGGAACTTCCTAGAAAACCTGAGACCAGTAGAGTCCAAATCCCTGACCCTGCCTATGTCCTCCACACTCTCCTCCGGGGTCCTGGAGTCCTCGTCTCAGTCCCCAGCTTTGCTATGAACCACTGGACACCAAACCAGTGGCCCTGAGCAGTCTGGACTTGCTCTGCCTCTCCTGCTGTGCCTTCTCCCAGCCCTGCATCCCAAGAGAGGAGCCTCACCAGTGCACACATGCTCATAGTCATCACAGCAGTCACTGTGCTGGGGACACCGGCGGTCACACTGGCAGGCAGCATCCCGGTTAAATTTCTCATTGCAGCGAGATGTGCAAGACTCCAGGTTTCCTGTGGCAATAAAGGTCACAGAATCAGCCTTCAGGGATTCCCATGTTTTTCCTAAGTGCCCCCTGCAGGAGGGCTGGGGAAGGGCAGGGAAGGTCGCTGCTGCCTGCAGGACAGGCATGCCCACAGCCTCCCTCCCCAGCATAGGCCTCACCTACCCTCAGCCCCCGAGTGACCCAGGCTCAGAGCACTGACCAGGGGCTCAGATTTAGTTGCCTGTTTGGAGAGGCCTGTGACCTAAATCAGCAAAGAAGCATATTGTGGGCAGTAAAGAGGCTGTGACAGAGAGCAGCTGTGCCCTAAGTCTGCAACCACTTCCCAGCCCCAGCAAATATAGCCAGAGCCTCCATATTTTCTAAAGAAATCTTCATTTGGGGGTAAAGTTTTCCCAGATTTTAAACTTCAAGCAGGATGAAGAAAGAGGACAGTAGCCTGGACAGAGTGACGCCACCACTCGTTTGCCTGTCGGTCCAGACGGAAGTCACTGGCTGCCTCCTGCCCACTGCCCTTGCTTTTAACCTGACCCTTTCTGCTGTCTGCTTTGTTCTGCCCCTCCTTCACTCTCCACACCTTATCTTCCCATGTCACATCTTTGTTCCTTCTAGCCTCTGGAATGTATTCGAATGAGTCTGTGCTTGGGTGGGGAATGAGGCCAATGTGGGTGAGAACTGGGCTTTGGGACAAGATTCTGTTATGCAACCACAGACCACATCCCTCGCTCCAGCCAAACCGTTTACAGAAGTGAGCTTTTGGTCACAAGGGGCATAAGAAAAGAACTTTTGAAAAGTACAAACCCAGTACCACTCTGAAAGAGAAACCAGACCACACCATGCTCAACACAGCAAAGATTGCAGGGCTGGGACGGGATGGCGGGGACTGTTTCCTCCCACTCTGGGTTTAGGAGTGATAACAAAGGCCTTATTTCCGAGGAGGCTCCTAATGCCTGGGTGTCAAGAACAGAGTCAGAAGTCAGGCACATGTTTGCAAACTCAGGACTTCTGGGGTGGAAGTAGAAGGATCAGGAGTTTAAGGCTAGCCTTGGCTATATAGCAAGAAGGTCAGCCTTGGCTGCATCAGATACTGTCTCAAAAAAAAAAAAAAAAAAAAAAAGGAAAAGCAAAACAGCAACAAAAAAAAGTATCAGAGATGCTACGAACATCAAACCGGGCAAATGAGGAGACATAAACCCAGCTTGGATCTGGGTGGAGTTAGGCCTGAGGTTAGGACTGAAGCTTGTACCAAATTGATGATAAAAAGTAACGGTTTCATATTGATATTTAGGTAAGGAATGGAGTAAGATTAAAGTTGGCATTTAGGGCTGAGCGTGTACCGGGTCTAGAAGGGAAAAATAATCTCAGTCTTACCTCAGGTTGGACTTGGGGTTAGGTCTCTCTCGTGCCTAATGAGAGGTCCAGAGCGAAGTAGAGAAGCCAGACTCTGGCACAGAGCTGCCTGGACTGGAATTCTGTTCTGCATCTTTTTAGCTATGTGATTTTGGGCAAGTTATTTAACTTTCTGTGCCTCTGTTTCCTTATGTGTATAAGTGGGAAAATAGTAGAGCTCAGGGCATAGACTATGTCAAAGAAGCAAATGAATTAATATGGGCGAAGTACTGAGCGTGGTGTGTGACAGAGAATAGAGCCAAGTCAGTATTTTTTATGTAAACAGACAAGGCCAACATTCCACGCCTTTGCTGGAGATGGCAACTGTCCAGACTGGATGCAGCAATTGTCCCTGCCCACGGACTTCATCACCTGACTCCCTCCCCCAGTTCAGCTGGTCCGTGCTGTGAGCTGACAGCACGTGTGTATTATGGATGGTTTATTAGCTCACCTCATCACTATGAGTCTGTATTCTTTGCATCAGAGAGGTGTCAGGTCAAGGTTAACCCAGGTCCTGAGGCTACTTCATAGTATGCATAGGGCCTCCAAGTTATCCAGGAAGACAGGACACTGGTCCAGTGGATTAGGACACCAAGCCCAAGGCCACTTTTCCCTTCAAGCCTGTAAGAACTCCTCATGAATCTTAAGTTATCTCTCTTGGCACCTGAATGCAAAGGTCTTAAGAAGTGTTCAGCGCAGGACGAAGCCTGGGCCAGCTGCCTGTCCTGCCAGCCTGGCAGAACACCTAGAGTCCTGAGGGGGAGAATACAGATGAATAAGGGTTGGGCTCTTAATGAGCCATCGAAGCAGAGTCCAAGGACAGGATTTACTCCATTTCAGGGCTGACAGCAGTTGAGAAGGACAAGTGAATAGCTGACTGTGAAGTTCAGGAGAACACCCCAAGTGGCCCATGCTGTGTGGACCTTGTCATCTCTGCCCCAGAGCTTTGTCCCCAGTAAGAGCCCCATGCCAACAGGTCCCATATTCCTCTGTGAACTTGTTCTGCTTCAGGGTAACCTTGGGACATGAAGGTGGCAGACAGGGGCTGGGGTGAGGGGGGCGCTTTTCCTCATGGGCACCTTGCTGCACTGTGCTGGGGACACTGATGACTAGTCACCCTGACTCCAGGCCCCCACCCAGTGCTCTGTGGAGCCTGGCTCACCATGCCAAGAAGGGCCTACCTCACTGTTCCAGCAGCCTCTGCTCCTTGCTCACTTACCTCTCTCTTTTTTTCATTTTTGCATTTTCTCATGCAGAACTCGGATTCCCTCCCTCTATGGAAAGCTGTGTTTCTCTGTACCTTCTCAGTCCTTAATGTGCCATAACCTCTGCACCCCGTTCCCACTGGCCAACAAGAGAGCTTGGTACCAAGTCCATATATATCAACCCTCAGCCCTTTGAACAGTTAGGGCATTCCACATGTGTGCCTCTCAGGAGGCCCCAGATGCTGTTTGGAGACCTAGTGAACCAAAAGCCTTCATCCTCAAGATCAACTTTCTGCCTCTGTTCACTTGAAATAGCAAAATCCTTGGCAGACAGCACATTTTGGCATCTAAGTCCCAAGGTGCTGGGATAGACCAGACAGGAGCAAAGCCTCCTGCCTTCAGGTGCCTCTGCACTCCACCTTAACTTCCCATCAATCTCACAGCAAGGTTTGATGAAGGCTCTCACCCTCAGTGTTGAGGGACCTGTTCTTCTGAACCAATATAGCCCTCAGGGACCTCACAAAGGACCAAATGTCCCTGGTGCAATCCTACTGGCATGTCCCAGGTCCTCTGACCACCCTTCCACGCTAGGCCCACATGCCCTCTTTCCTCCCTCCCTCCAGCAAGCCTGACGTTGAGACCTCATATCCAAACTTCCCTTCCCTCTTCTTTTCCAAGCCCAGGGCCTAGGTAGAGCAGAGTCCTCAAAGAGGGGTACTAAATGTTCGGAAGTATAGGCACAGCTTTTCCTTTTCAGTTTAGGGATCCCATTAGGGGTCTCCGTATGTACTCCATGATTGGGAATGACCCCAAAAGTCAGCTTCTCCAGGAATATTTATGATCACAACCCTAACTGAAGTTCGAAGATGCTGAGACCTGACTCCTTCATTATCTTATCTGATCCCTTCAAGAGTTCTAGGCAGGAACTCCCTGGGAGGGTGGAACTGTATGGAACTCTCACTCTTCTCCTGGGGCAGAGGAGGATTCTGCCCATACCCCGAAGTTCAGCCTCCTCCCTTGGCCCTTCCTGCCGCCCACTAATCATCAATTAACACATCAGCAGAGCTTGTCGCACAGCTACTAAATAGGAAAGTGTTCCTTCCTTCTTCTGGTGCTGTTCCCGTAACTGTGGGCCATATCTCGTCTCTACACTTTAACTCCCCTAACTCTGGGACAAAGACCTATTCCTCGGACCACTTGTACAACTGCAAACGAGACACAGCCTATCTCCGAGAAGGGGTTTTGGTTTCTTCTTGAGCCTGCCCGTTTCCTAAGGCTTACCTAGAGAAAGATCACACCCCCGGACAATCTGACCCATCACCAGGCAGCAGAGGAGAGAGTGACCAAGGGCAGCCAGGCAACCCCAACGTCGGCAGCCCTTCCCCCTTTACACCATACAGTTCACCAAGAAAACAAAACCCTGACCAAGTCCAAAGTCTGATTATCCTAGTGTTGTTGGAGCCAGTCTCCCAAGGTGTCAGCCCTGCAGCTCCCTCCACACCACCAGTCAACTTTAGAGACAGCTTCTGAAGGCTCGGGCAAGGACATGTGGGAGTTGTCCACAGGTTTAGGATATTACTAATCCTCTGCCAATTGTCCCTGCCTTCTGTTCTTTAAGCAACCCACCCCACTCCCATGCCCACCAAAGAGTGACTTACCAGCCCACGCCAAGCCACAGAGCATGGCCACTATCAGGGGGAAACAAGCCCTCATGGCATCAGCTGGGGAGGACTGGCAGTCAGACTTTTCCGGTATAGTCAAGGTGAATGTCAGTGTCAAACGAACCTTATTCCCCAGGCAGATCCTTTTAAAGACACCAGGACCTGTGGGTCTGGTGTGTCTAGATCCTTCCTGGAAGGAAAAGGGGAGGGATGGATCTCAGATGGACAAGAGGTAGAGAGGAGGTGGGGCCCCACAGCTGTTTGAAGCCAGAGAGAAGGTGAGTAAGCAGGCAGGTAGTTCCAGATAGTTAGAACAGGTAATGCTTGCTATTGGTAGCTAGAAAATAGGCCAGGCAAGCAGATGCAGCAAAATGAATCCAGTTTGGCAGGTTCTTCAACCAGATTAAGGACACATCTGCTTATCTCTGAGTGACCTCTTCTAAATACCCATCTGCTGCAGTCACAAACCTGGCCTGCCGGGGACTGCAAGTCTAGACTCAGATTTGATGGGTTTGAAGAGACTTCAGTTATCATCTAGTCTCCCTTCTCACAGGATGTGAAAACCCCTTTCACAATCCCAAGGGCCTGTTGGGCCTCCACGTGCATGCCTTTAGTCCTGGGGAGGGGAGGGGTACAGTTTCTCTAGACTGCGCATCTCCCCTCATAGCTCTCACTCCCAGCCTTTGGGACTTTATAACCTAAAGCGTGCTGAATAGGGAAAAGAGTCCACAAAGTCAGTAAGCAAGCAGATATCAACACATTCATGGCAGAGATGGTTTGTGGAGAAACTCAGATGCCCATATAATCATATATCAACACACAGAGAAAGTAGAATGTTTTTCCAACAGGTTTCTCTGCTCGCTGGCCCATCTGGACAGAGAACCCCACTATCCTTGACCTCAGCTGTCCTCTAGCTAGATGCTCATATAGGCTTCCATCCTGACAAGCTCTGTCCAGGAGACCACCATGGAAACCCCAGGGGGCTGGGTCGTCTGAGTGGAGAAGGGGTGGATGGTGAGGCGGGGAAGGGAGACTACCAAGGGAGATGCCTCTTCCATAGCCAAAGTGGGAGATCGTGGAGTGTGGCCTCCAGTGGAGGTGTGGGGATGTGGAAGGAGAGGGAGGAGCTGAAGCTCAGGGTCAGGGTCCAGGAAGCAGTCAGCTGTCGGGGCTGTGCAGAGTGCACATTCTGTCAGCAAATACTTACTAAATTATTTATTAGATGCCAAGGGCTAAGATGTAACTGTACCAAAGGGTTTAGGCACTCTTCTTTTTTAAATTACCTGTGTGTGTGTGTGTGTGTGTGTGTGTGTGTGTACCTTTCACAGCACACATGTGGAAGTCAGAGGATGACCTCAGGAGTTGTTCTTGCCATCCGCCTTGTTTGAGGAAGGATCTCCCTTCTGTAGTTTTCCACTGTGTTCACCAGGCTAACTGGCCTGTGAGCTTCCAGGAATTCTCCTGTTTCAAAGAAATGCTGGGATTATAACTTCTAGTATTACACTGTCTGGCTTTAGGGGTTCTGAGGATTCAAACTCAGGTGGTTCCTCATGTTTGCACTGCAAGCAGTCGCCATGGAACATGGGTCCAGACCTTGAAATTGGCTTCTGATGGCAGAGAGGACAGATGATCCTGTCATCAGACCATTATTGAAAACAGTCTACTCATCACTAGGTCCCACTGGTAGTCAGAAGCCTGGTAAGATAAGAGGGCTGTGAGAGACTGGCCCAGGGACTATTAAACGGGACCTATGCCCAGGCCAGCCTGCTCTCCCTCTCTGGTCTTCGGAACCCAAGGCCAGATGTTGTCATCAGGAAACAGCCTGGACTTTCAGCTGGCCAGCTCCAGGAGGTCTGGATTTCTCTTCCAAGAGAACCCCAACACCCAAAGATGCTGTATCTCCAGCCTGTGGCCTGAGAGTACCATCCTGGTCTCTGGAAGAAGCCCAGCACAATCACCCACGGCTGATCTCATTATGTCTTAGCACTGCCATATGTAGGATTTCTTTCCTCCATTGGTGTTGGGAAACCCTGCTGTTAGGGTTGTAGTTCTCCATATCCGGATAGCCCTAAGGGGCTCGGCGCCAAATGGAAGGACTCTCCTTTTCAGCAGGGGGCCTCTGGCTCTCTTCCTGGCTTACCTGGAAAGTGCCACCAAGCACAGATGCCTGACCTTATTTGGAACATGACCTTTGGCATAGTTACCTGGAGTAAAAACTACCCCCAGGTTTTTTCTATATGATAATCAGGCATTGCCTGATAGTCTGGAAGATAGGAGCCCACTGCCACATGTAAA